AAATCGATATAAAAATAGAAAAAAGTAAGCTTAAGGGTATTAGCCTCTTAATAATAAATAATATACTTAGGTTAGCGAATAGCGATAATTTCTTTAAAAGCTTTATAATTTAGAGGCTAAACCTATTAAAAAAGATTTAATTAATAAAAGGATATAAAATAAAAGGCTAAGAAACTTATAAATTAGCGAAGCTAGAGAGATAATAATAAATATATCGAGGATATTTTAATAAATAGATATTATATAATTAATTAAAGGGAACTTAAAAATTTAAATATAATTTATAATATTATAGAAATAGCTATTATTAGCTAAATTAATAATGATTTCTAATATTTTCTTAAAATATTTAATTATTTTAGTAAAATAGGAGAGATAATAAATATACTATTTTAATAAATAATTATATAAAATTATATTTTTATTAATATATATTTAATTATAAACCTCTTATTAAATAAACTAAATAACCCTATAAAAGGGCTTAAGGATTTATAATTATTAATTAATATAATTAAAAGATTTAATAAATTTATAATAAAATAAATGCTTTTATTAAACTTATAAATAATATATTTAATATTAGAATAATTAATTATATATTTAATATCTAGCTAAGAAATAAATTTATTAAAGTAATATTTATATAAAGGGTTTTTAGCTTTAATATTAAGAAGCTAATAATTATAAGCTTAAGCTAATTAAGGATTATATAAATATATTTTATTAAAGCGAAAGATAATATTTAATATAATAGCGATTAAGTAAAAAGATTAAAATAATTAAAAGTAAATATAAGATTAAATAAATAAAATAAGAATATAATAAATTATAAGAATATCGATTATTAAAAGAAATTAAAGATAATAAAATCTAAGAGAATTATAAATATAATAAAGAGAACTTTATAAAATAAATATAATAAATTATTATTTATAAATTAATAATAAAGATTATTCTATATTATTATTTATTTCTAAGCTATTATTAATATTATTATTATTATAATTTCTATAATATATCTAACCTAGCTCTATATTATAGCTACGCTAAGGAATAAGGCCTAAGAAGTACTATATTAAAGTACTAAGATATATTAATGAAGGTATTATAAGTTCTAGGGACTAGACCTCTAGGAAGGGAGGTAATATAAAGAGTTAGACGTTAGGAACTTAACCTTTATTTATATTATCGTAGATACTTTAGCGATAAGCCCTAGTTTAAAAGGAGAAGTCGAGGCTATACTCGATAGCCTCGATAAGTTAAAGTTAATATAATAGCTTACCGATTATTCGCTAATCTAATTACTTTCCTTAATCTAGGCCCTTAGCCCTATACCTTTATATATAGGAACCTTAATGGCTTAGTCTTAGTAGTCTTTAGCCTAATAATATAGCTAGTATGCTTTAACTTTTATCGTATCCGATATAGGTAGATTCTAGGTAAGGAGGACTTAAATCTAATAGTATAAGCGAGATAAAATTTTAATAGTTTTAATAGGAACTTAATAATAATATGTGGGGAGAGGGGGTCGTTAATCTTATTTATAGTTAATATCTTTAGATTCCTATCTCTTCGTTAATCTAATAGTAGATAGATATCTATTAATAATAATCTATTATCTTTAATAGAAATCTAGGATTATATAATAGAGCGAACGGAGTCTAGTTACCACTATTATCAGGACCTTACGTTAGGGGCACGTTCATGATAGTGAAAAGAGTTAAGGTCTCTAACTAAAGCTATCTAGGCTACGGCCCTTATGAATAGAGTGGGGTGCTCCGACCTAGGACTCTAGCGGAGTCTAATTCCGCTAGGAGCCCTGGGCTGGAGCACCTTCCACTGGAGGTGCCTCCAATATCTAGAGGTAGTCTAAGCGCCTTATCTATATATAGCTATTAAGGGTTAGTCTATTATATATAGAGGGCACCCCTTAGACCTATTTTTTAGGTTTTTAGATCTTAATAATTATCTAATTCTAACTATACTTATAAGTCCCCTTTATATAATAATTCCTATTTAATTTATATATTCTTAGTTATTATAAATAGATACCTTCTAAGATACGCTTTACTCCTATTAGGATTAATCTAAGTATTTCTCTTAATTAATTATAACCTTCTTAATTACCCCTCGACCTACCTACCTTTGATCTAAACGAAAAATATACTATTTTATAGTTCTTATTTAGGGCTCTAAGGATCTTCGATCTATTTCTCGATCTAACGTCTCCTTCTTAAGATATAACTACTTTTATCTCTCCCTTCCTCTTATCTATTATTATCTCTTTATTCTATAACTAAGCTATACCCTTAGTCGTTGCCTAATACCTCCTACGTCGACTATGATATATACTAATATAATATACTTTAATTAATCTATTACTTAGATTAATCTAATTCTAAGTTATAGAAATTAAAGAATATAAAGATATTAAGCTAAAGGCTTAGATTAGGGAAAGTAATTAGATTAGCGAATAATTAGTAAGCTATTATATTAATTTTAACTTATTAAGGCTATCGAGTATAGCCTTGATTTCTCCTTTTAAACTTAGGCTTATTATTAAAATAATAGCAATAATATAAATAGGGGTTAGGTTCCTAATATCTAACTCCTTATAGATTAACTATTTATAAATATATTAATATAGTTCTTAGTTATATCCTAATAATAGATTTTTATTAATTTTTTAAAATAGAAATAATATTTCATTTTCTTTTAATTTATCTCTATTTCCCTAAAAGAGTTATTATTCTTAGAAGATATATAATTATAGAGCTTAACTAAATAAGCTCTTAAATTATATAGCCTATAACTTTTAATATATATTTTACTAAATTTATATTCCCTACTATTATTAAAATTATTTATATAGCTATATTTAGACTAAGATCTATAATATTTACTAATTAGTACTTGCAAGTCCTTCTAATATTTTCTCGGGGTCTTTAGATATTAGTAAGAACTAAGTATCTTAAATCCTAGAAGCAAACAACTCACATTTCCGACTCTCTAGTGTTTCCTGAGATCGCTTAAGACTAGTTCTACTCGGAATACCCAATATGCGCGTCACTCATCGTTCATGCATTTCAAGATTGCGGCGCGGTCTCCATTACTCGCGCGCATTTCTTGGAGCGAATGAATCAAGAAGAACGGCGGAATCCTCTACTACCCTCGCGTCACGGCCGTTAAGCCGGAGAACGCACCCGAGGCAAAATGCTACGACCAGGTTGGCACCGCTTGCTGATAATGTGTACCTTGAAAACACTAATTTTTAAAGAATTAGCCTTTCCAGACCAGAACCCTCAGGATACGATACCGCCGACGCCATCTTCAAAGCTAGGAAATACCCACTGCTCGCCGCTGGGGTGGTTGCGCTTGGCGGTGGTATATATGTCAGCATGATGATATCGTCGTTTGCGGGTGAACCCTCAGCAGATCTCGAAGCTTCTCCGACTGGTCGGCCACCCCAATTCACTCGCGAATCTGCTCGCCAGTTCGACTCCAGCCTCGATGCGTCTGAAGAGGCCATGGGTATTATATCACTGCGGAAAGATATAGGTCGACTTGCCATGGGCCATGTCCTCGAGGTGGCGCTTGGGACTGGGCGCAACTTGGCCTTCTATGACTGGAGCAGTATAGTCCCTTCGCAAAATAATATGGCGCCAGAGAAGCCAGATGCCCCGCAGCAAGCTATACTTTCTTTTACAGGTGTTGACATATCGGCAGATATGCTAGGGGTTGCCATTGACAAGCTACCAATGGCCGTTCCTGGCATGATCGACATGACTCCAACCGTATCAGCCCGCACGACATCATCAGGTAGTGGATGGCGAGAATTCGCATATTTTGGCGGAAAGATCAGAGTCGCACAGTGTGATATTCAGGGTTTACTCCCGCCGCCAGAGCCGACAGTCTGCAACGACCAAAAATACGATACAGTTGTCCAGACATTTGGTCTATGTAGTGTGTCAGATCCCGAAAAGGTCTTATCCAACTTGGCAAGCGCCGTCAAGCTTGGAACTGGTAGGATCATACTTGTTGAGCATGGTCGTGGATGGTGGCGACTTGTCAATACCCTTCTTGACTGGTCTGCGCTTGCACACTACCGCAAGTATGGTTGCTGGTGGAATAGAGACATTGTCGGAATCATCGAAAGCGCAGCTAAGTTAACACCAGGTCTCAGGATCGTACGACTGGAAAGACCCTTCATCACGCAATTGGGCACTACGGTATGGATTGAGCTAGCTGTGGACTCACCCAATGGCAGCGAGCCATCGCACGATCCATGACAACCGTAAACGCACTCTCGAGAGTATGCCGGAAGAAGAGTTTCATGCTGGAATGCTGAATGGGGGTTTGAAAGGAGATGTCTTCGTTGCTTTATCATTGCTTCATCTCAACGTAGGCCTAGGCTGCGTCCACAGCCTCATATTGTACACTACAAAACCATAAATACAAATGAGTATCCATCATATCACCAGTCGGGGCATTTCGACGAAGGTCGCTGTGCTCAGCAGGCATCAAGCAAACAATCAAGCTCATCAAGCTCAATGTCCTCGGGCTTGTGGTCCCACTCGAGCGATTTGCCAAACTTCAGCCAGTTATCTTCTGTGTCTTTTCTAGTGCTCGATGGTGGGTAAGTCGCTCGGAATGCCGGACTGGCGATGAAGTTCATAGACACTGTTGACCCAGCGGCGATGTATGATCTGTCTCCAAACAGGTCATCCCGAGCAAGGTCATCGGCTTGGACATGCTCTCCACAGCCTGGTAATGATTCGCCAGACAGCTTGCGCTTATGAAGTCCGTCTGCCGTTTGAGTAAATTCTCTCTCGTCTTTCTCCAAAGGGGGGGATGCGCTTCTGATGGAGCGGGGCATCCGAAAAGTCTTCGAAAAAGACCCAATGGGCGTGACTGGGACATTCATATCATCGACCATGTCATCAAAGTCGGGCGAAAGATCGACCTCTGGCGAAGGACTCAACTCACGTCGATGCGCATCGTCGTCGTCGCCAGAGAGAGACCCGGTACTCGAGATCGAAGGAGATATGGCAACCCGAGAACGAAGCTTGAGGGCAGTCATAGGAGGTAACGGCTTGCGGGCGCATGTTGTGAGATGATAGTAGCTTCGGCGTAAATGCGAAGACTCAAGTTCCTTGGCTAGTGGGCAGGGCGCCAAAGCAGACCAGCATGGGCGCTTGAGATATGAGGCTAATCGAGCAGATATGAGGGCGCATGGGTTCGCCGAGCTTAAATACTCGCATATTAGCAACGACCAAACAAGGGGATCAACGAGACTGTTGACACATACTGTTGAACAACGGAGAGGCTCTCGGCGAGGATAGGGGCAAGTTCTTTCACGAGATGAGGTCGATTTGATGTCGCTTGGAGTTGCAATATCACAGCCTCCACAACGTTGTCATCGGTGCCCTCAAGGTCGATCAATCGACTGGATATGTTGTCTTTGTCCAGTTCGAGCCTGCTTTGGCTTCTTTTCGGGGACGGTGGTGGAGTGTGCTTATACTTGCTAGTGGCGTTGTCTTCGAATGAGGTTGCCATACTGAAGGTCGGGGAAAGTGGTAATGCGCAGCTTCCTTTCCCGTGTGACAGCTTGGCCCTTTTGTTGGCATGACGTGCACTAGGGACAGTCGTGAATTTGGATTCCCCTGATCGCTTCTCTACTACATTCTGGTGCGTAGAGGGAGCTTCAGCAGCTGCGGCAGCAGCGGCAGCGGCTCGTTCGGCGTGGGAGACTGGGACGTGAACCCCAAGCAATGTCAAGGAAAGGGATTTGCGGCGAGTATTATAAGGCATATTGCATTCGAAATTGGTCGATCCAGCTACCAGTCAAAGTGCGATGCTGGGGTGAGGCGCTCGGTTCCGGAGAGACTTGTGAACGTTGTAAGGGCGGTCGGTATAGTAGATGTACACGGGCGTGGTTGTTTTCTTGGCTTAAGGAGGGATGTGATATGGAGAAGGGGCCGGCCCTGATCATTCGCAAGTGACTGCTGGTACAATATGTCATACAATGACCAGGAGACAGGGGAACGAGATGTGATGGGGTCACAGGTGTGTCCCGTTTCTGGTGGCAGATATGGGAAACTTTTTCTTCACCTGCCCGCCGTATTGGGTGGGCTCCATAATTTCCATGACGGGGTGCATAAGGCAGGTAGGATATGCCGGAGCCCCACTCCAGAGTCGTTGACGAGGCCCAATGGCAAGGCCTCATCGCCCGCCCTCCCGTCCGTCATGCTGTTTTGCTTCGACATCTTCGATTCCATGGACCCTATTTTCTTGAAGTTTGAATTCAGAGGCATCCTTGGTCACCTTCATAACAAGCCGATACGCAAGCGCTGGGAATTTGCCTTTCCTCTGATAGTATGTTTCCGACGCTGCCACGTCCTGAGCGCGTGTGGCTTTAGTGTTTGTGGGAGAACATGTCGCCCGATGAGGGGAAGGAGAATAGCAAGAGCCATCAGTTCAATTAATTGACCGGCCAACAGTCGATTTCTGTACTGCTGCAGACTATGCCTTTAAGGCTGGTCATCATCTTCTACAACAACCACTGCCTAGCCTTACAACAAACCCCCCTTGTCGGTGATCCCTTTCTTATCTTACAAATTGATGGCATGTCGAGAAGTGTCATGCATCGTAAGGTATGCAGCGCTCCCCTGTTGCGCATCCTTTAACGCCGTCCTCTAGGAGTGAAGCCCTCATTTGCGTCACTTGCCGTAATTACACCAAAACATATTTCTGATTTCCCGGGAGGCCTTATTGTGACGTACTGTGTTTTGTTACTTTGGGGGTGCAGATACCCCGCCATCGGCAATACTGAGAGCAGCCACAAAGACACAGACGGGCGGCCCATACACCGTTGACGTTCACATGGCCAGTGCAGGTCGTCGACCTCACTACGCACGCTGAAGCACAGCGTGGAAACGATCGATTATCTTCAAAGCGAGGTTAACATTATGACCACACAATGTATGTAACACGAAATGGCAAACATAATAATGGAAACGTACCTCGGGCGACGACTTAACGAATGGTAGGTCGAAGAACGCATACTTTTCGTTCTTCAGAAGCTCCAGAACCGTGATCATAAGGCCCCAAGGCTGTGGCCAGAAACCGATCAGTCGTTCCCACAGCACACGCGTGATCTGCTGCCGGATCTCTGTGTCGTCGGGATCGTTCAAGTCGCGACCGAAAATTTCCAGCAGAACTCGACTGAAGTAGCTAGTCATATCGCCAGGGAACCTCAGCTGGTTGACCATGCTGACAATGAGGTAGTAGCGGGGCTCCGGCGCCAGCTCGTGCATCAATAGCGACAAAACTGCGACGTCTGTCGAAGATGGGTTGAAAGACTCCCCTCCTTGGGCCAAACGCCCCACAGCGTATTTGCCAACATGGAGTATGATCGCTTCGATGACGGATAGATTCGCCTTGATACTGACGTGCGCAAATCCGGTTTCGCGGGCGTCGGATTCATTGATGGCACGTGTCATGTGAGCCAAGCCGTCTTCAGATGGACCAGTGTGCAGAGCCTGATCGACTACGCCCAGGAGACCGTGCTCCCTCAGCAGAATAGCAGTGTCGTCTTCGGTGGTCTCTTTCGCCTTCGACCCATTACTTTGATCCGCATTAGGACTCAAAGCATCCTGAGATGCCGGATTTGCGGCGAGAATAGCATTGATAAGCTGTTTGCAGTGAGGAGGCAAGCTCATGCGCAGCTGGTCAGAATGAGCAGCGATGTACTCTGTGAAATCGTGTTGCAGGACAACGAGCAGTTTTAATGTCGCGCGGTATGTATCACGAGCCACGGCGGTGGGCTCGGGAGCTTTGAGTTGTTGCCCAACGAATTCAAAGAGCATGCGTAAGAGTGTCGTATACGCTGACCAGCCTGCACGCTCCTTCAAGATGGCAGGTAGGAATGCTCTGTGTTGGATGAGCGACAGCCAGCCATAGGCGAAGCCTGGAAGGTATCGGGGACTGAGGTCCGCGAGTCGGGAGGCGATTCGCAGCAGCATATCAAGCTGCTCAAGCTCATCCACTTGACTTTCGATTGCGCCCACTTCATGGAGCAAGACGGACAGCAGACGATGGAATACCCTTTGATTGAAGTGCTCAACTCGCTTCAGATGATGGTGGCTTAGGACGAGGGTCAGCAGGGCTAGGACTGAGTCAAGATAAACTGGCCTCGATGTCGTTGTGCCCACGTCCTCTGCTCCATGGTCCTTGATAAGAACGCCTATCATCTTTGCGAGTGCATCTGTAGCGATGAAGGCATCTGCAACTGTGCCTGTTGTGTGCGCAAAATGCTCGTACCTGTCAACAGACACGTCGACGGCGACCCTGATGAGAAGGAATAGATCGTCCTTGTTCCTGAGCAGGCCTCTGGCCTGCATCTGCCGCGCAAAAAGTACCGCGGAATCGTCCGGCGCATTGGGGTTGCCGTAGAGATGAACCCATTCATCGAAAACATACTCCAATTGATCTCGTTGGTGCAAGATATCGCTGTCCGCTGACACGCTCAGAGAAATGCCTTGACTTGACAGCTTCGCCAACAGCCGCTGAGAAATAGGTGATTCCGGATCATCGTGGACCAAAGTCCACGCGACATCAAGAGTGCGTACGAAGTCACCGTACAGGGCCAATGGCCGAGGTCCCAAGAGGGTCAGGTCAATCATCTGTTCCAGGAATTCCAGGGATCCTTCCTTCCGTTGCTGCACCGTCTTAGCCAGCGCAACGTCGACATTTCTCCAGTCGATCAAGTCAGTCCGCAACAGGGCAGCCAGAAGCGGCAGGCGAAGGAAGCTCGAGCCAGGTTGTTGTCGGAACAGTGTCGTGACTCGATTGTTCAACCCCGGTCCAGAGATTTTTCGCAGGGTTTCAAGAACATGAACCAAGCTCTCCAGAGCAAGATTGTCTTCAACCTGGCTGAATACAAGCTGAATAATCTGCTCAGCAGCGAAGAGGGCAAATTCTTCTGAATTCTGGGAAGTCTTGATCATGTGCTGAACCAATGCATCCACCACGTCGAGAACGGGATGGGGCCTGGGCAAATCAACGAAATGGTCTTCACGAGCCTCTGTCGCCACACGTTGTAGCTCAACCAGGAGTTTCTGGACCCTCTCAAAGAGGGCTCGTCCGTCCAGCTGAAATGGCCGACCACTTGCAACGCCACCCAGATGTGGAGGCCCATAGGACGGCATGTGGGAAGTTAGGTGCTGCGCAGCGGGCGTCTCGGCTGGTGTGGAGATGGGCAGGGAATTGAATTGATCTGCCAATACATCGTTGGCCATTGATCTGGTTGTCTCAGATACCGATGGCGCGTGTGAGACGGTTGTGGTGTTGCTGGCCCGCGGTTGACGAGCAAAATCTTCATAGATCGCCATTTGTTCAGGATTCAATCCACTAAGACTCGGTGACAGCTTAAATGGATTAGGTATGGTCCATGCCCATCGACTAAGAGAAGGATCGACGTATGGTTCGTTCGGTCTCTGGGAGCGATGGCGGCGGCGAGCGTCCAACTCGGTTTCGATCATCTCTTCAATCTCAGGCACCGCCCTCTCCTCGGCCTGTTTTTCAATGATGTTACAGGCGAGGTCCAAGTTCGAATTGACGCACATTATGATGGTCCCTTCAGGCAAGCCCTGTGGCAAGTCATTCGAAAGGTTTCGCAGATAGTTGGTGAAGTTTCCCCTAAGTGGCTCCTTGGACGTTACGAGTGCGAGGCTACCAGCAGTTGCTTTTACCATGTTGATAGCAGATGTGCGGATTCTTGTTTCGTCGGGCTCCGTAGCAAAATCCTTGCGAATCATTTCCCGTGTTGAAATCGCCGCAATGGTCACCGATCTGTCAACTACCGGTTGAATGATATCTTGCAACGCGCGAGTGAGGGCAGTGCGCACGATATCATGCAGTCGCGAGGTGGCAACCACCATCTCGTTGGTCGGGGGTATTTGAATCATTGGCGCCAGATCTGGGATCGATGCTGGGAGAATTTGTGGTGACAAACCTGCGCTAACGCCTGTAGCTAGGCCGTTGAGCGACAGATTGTCAAATGACTCCAGGCTGTCGTGACCAAGAAGTTCTAATGGCTCGTCGGCTGCAGTACGATTAAGGATCTCGCCCGAGGGCTCGATTGTCTTATGATCCAAGCTAAGACCTTTGCAGAGCACCTCGATCTCGAATTTAAGGTTGAGCTTGAGTTCCGCATGATGATAAAGGTCGATCAGTAGGTGAATGATATCCATGAGCCAGGGGTTGGGGGGGCGAAAGACCGTTGAGTGAATTCCTTGAATCAGAACCTTGCAGACGAACGGAAGAACAACAACCAGCCTCTTGGTGTCGTGTGCCTCGAGGAGAAGCTGCTTAAAAGCAATGTTCTTATGCTTGATTGGTCTGTCCCGTGCCAAGGTCAAAAGTCCCAACCAACCACCGAGATTCTTGAGGTGAGAGCGCTCCGTAGGGTTAGTGATGGTCGCCTCGGAGTTGAGCATACGTGCAACGCTGAGATAAGTCTCTCGCAAGACCTCCGCCCAAAGGACCTTGTCCTCGAACAGTTTCACCAAATCCAGGTAGACTTGATGGTAGTTGGGCTGCATCTTCGCACGCTCTTCGACAAGATGGCTGGCAAACCACTGCTGGTGTCTCTGCTCGACCATGTCTCGAAGTTCCTTGCACATAGACTGAAGAGTGGTCTCTGTAAGATTGTTGAGGACGAACTGGATCTTTCCCTGGGTGTCATCCGACGGACTCTCAAATGCAAGCGCGGGGAATGAACTTTCTGCGTTGATCGAGGCGAATGGAGGTGCTTGGCGATCAGCATCACGGGGCTCGTCAGCACCGCCGTTCGGGACAGGCTCAGCAGAGAACGCAGTTGCGTGAGTGGGTGGATTGGGGCCGGTGCGTGAACGGCTGCCCTCTTCTTCGTGTTCTCGAACAACGTCCTCGGCCTTTTTCCACGCTTCTGTTCCTTGGAGGCCGGGTATCTGCAACAGTTGCTTGCAGAATCCGGGCCACTCTCTGAAACGTGAAAAAAGTTGCATCAAAGCTTGCAAACCGAACTTATACATTGAGACATCTGGAGGATAGTCTCTTACAGCTTCAAGAATCATACCAAGTCCGATCTTGAGCGGTAGATCCGCAATAAGCTTATGCGATATGATACCACCAAATAGAACCGCTGTGGTTGCAAGCGCCTCAAGCGGATAGTCCACGTAATGAGCGTACTCGTCGAAGAGCCCATGAATCATGCAAGCAAAGACGTCCTGATCGAGGGGATCGCGGGAGTGTTTGTACCGGCGGAGGACGTCGACGATATTCCGAACCTGTATCTCGTCGCCGTACATCTTTTTGTAGTGTTCCTCCATTTTTGCGTTTGCAGCCAATGGCAATGCATTGCCGTCAGCGCCGTTCGCATCGATAACGTCGTCATACCCTTCCCCATAGTTGATCAGTCTGGGGTAGACGGTGATACAAGACCGCTGCACCAGGATCAAGTCGTGGACCGGAGCCTTGGGCATGAAATCCTCCAATATCTGGAGAAGGGCCGAGACGGTTTTGACTTGAAGGGTCGTGGATTTGACGATGGACTGCCCATCAGGCGGGCGTTGATATTGAAGCTCAAGATTTGCCTTAATAAGCAAGAATTGTTGTAGGGATCGGGCTACTTCGGCGCTCCGTTCGGAATTCTGTCGAGCCCAGTGTCCAAGGTCTAGGTAGCCTTCCGCGTGGGCGAAAGCTGCAAGGTCCAAACCAAAGCCACTAGTAAGCGAAACGAGGTCCTCGAGCCACTTGTGTTTTACCGCATGTTCGAAAATTAGAGGCAGATCGGTCGGCTTGACGGCGTGGGCGTCGATAAGTCTTTGAGTCACCCAATGCCGGTCCCTTTGCCAAAGGCTGTCGAGGACAAAGTCGTACTCTGCAGATCTTTTGTAAAGGAAGTTATCGAACAAGGAAATCAATGTCTCGGTGGCCATCGAAGGCCAAGGCTTGGGAACCCCGAAAGCAGAGACGACAAAAATGTCGAGATTGGGTACAACGACCTCTTGAAATAGGCGTTTAGCCTCGACGGTTTGTGAGGCATGAACGGAATGAAGTGCAACATGGAAGACAGCAGCAAGAGCGGCTACTGAAACCAATGGGTGCTTCACCGCGAACGCGGCGCGCTGACGAACTTCAGAGGGGGACTGGGCGAAGGAGTCGAGAGTCAGCGTTGGGCTTAAACCAGGTATCGTGCTCGCATCAAGTTGGTCCGGCATCAGTGACGCGAATGCGCAGATGAAGGAGAGCTGGGTTTCCGGGTTTTCCCAGTTTCCGCCCCATAGTTGCTCAATGTTGAGAGAAGACGAGCTATCTTGTGCAATCGGCACGAGCGCATTGTAAAGCCTCAAGAACTGCTGCGACGATATGCGGGCGGAGCGTTGATCGAAGTAGGTAACAACATCTTGCCAACGGAAGGTTGACGGCAGAACCCGGCGTAAAGCTGCGGCAAGAATGCTAGGGTCATGGTGAGGCGTTTGGCTGATGGTTGTGTACGTGAGTGCGATGGAAACCTGCTCCTCAGAGAGTTGCACATGAGTTGGTCGATTCTGCAGGTATGAGACGCAGGCATCATGATCCTTCGTGAAACCTGCACCCGTACGCTGTATGTAGGTGGCGAGGGCATTAGGCGGCTTGTCAGCTAGAACTCTGACCAAGTCCAAGGCAGCGAGAACTTCAGATGGAGGAGGCGCTTGATCACCGTCCCAGCGAGATTTCACCTTGAAAGCTAGCTCAGATTTTGAGGCTGCATTAAAGTTAGGTGGTTGGTACTGAATGAAGCGGTCGACGATAGTGGCAATGAATGAGTCGGTCAAGTCGGCATGCTCCTCGAGGTCTGGACGAGCGATGATATTGACAAAAGTAGGAAAGTTCGTTGAGAGGATGGCATCGGCTAGGAAGTACGTTAGTGACGAGAAGACCAGATCGCAGCAAGTTGACTTACCCTTCGTCTTCAGGTCAGATCGCGACCCAAGCTTGAATGCAAGCGCAAGTATGGTTTTCTCGAGAGCATCAAGTTTAAAATGCTCCATGAAAGTCGACAGGTCAAAATCACGGAATATATCCTCTGTACCAGAATCGATGGATTCGGCAATTTTGATTGCTTGGTTCGCATCGTGAGCAATGTTTCGCATTTCATTGACGAGAAGGTGGTAGTTCCCAGGATTCGAGACCGGTCGCGTCAAGCCAGGAAAAATCTGGCCAGCGTTGCCGGCAACAAGCCGGGTGAAATATTTAGAGAACACCTCCATGCCGTGATCATCGAGGAGCTGCAGCAGGCGCAGATTTGTTAGATTATAGTCAGCGTGTTGAAGGGGGAGGCATACCTTTTTCAGCTGATCCGCTTGGGTCTCCCGTTTGACGCGACCCTTATCCTCCTTGATGGTACTCAAAAGTAGGTATATTTGGGCAACGACAATCTTAGCCAGGGGATTGGTTCCGGTCGGGCTATGCGTGCTGGGACTCGCGCCCGAGCTAAATTGCCCTCCTTGCGATGGGTTGGGCGAGTGGCTGTTTCCTGTCTGCAGAGTCTGTGCAGGATTTGGTGAAAAAGATCCCGCTCTTGATGGCGGCACCATGGAGTATTCTTCGGGACAGGGACCGATGGGGCAGGCGGAGCTTCTGTTCAGGTCGAACAGAGCAGCTTGCTCACTGAGCCACCTGACCGCCAGCTGTTCGTGGATGCGTGCCGGTAGGCCGGTGACTGATCAGAGATGGCGCGCGGCAGGTAGTCGACTTGGCCAACAGGTGTTTGAGAACGTTCAGGCAGGAAATTTATGAGAGAAAAACCCGTTCGAGGTTAAGGACGTCGTTGCGGGCGACTGAGGGTCCCCTACAGACAATCCCTCGTTGTTGAGCGTACAATGAGGCTACAGGTACGTCCCCTAGATGGCGACAAGGTGGTGATGGCTGACAAGATAGTAGTCCGTGTGCCGAAGTCGTAGCGTCTCGTTACGTGCGGTTGCTGGGGCCAATACGCCGATCGTGTCGTGATAAGAGCTTTCCAAGGGTCAGAAAGGTAAGGTCGCGAGAGGAGAAATTGGCAGACTTGTGGTGCAATGGGACAGGTGTGAAAGAGTGCAATGGGCCTGATGCAGGATGATTGATTGGCTTAAGCACTGGAGCTGGGGTCAAAGTAGGCCCGGCAGCGGCAGCCTTGGGCTCCTTTCCCTTCTGGGTCAAAAATGTACGTACCCTGACCAGGTACCTTACCTAGAGGTACCTACAAGAAGCTGGTGTTGTCGGGTCGCCAGGCATTGGCAGGGGGGCTACAAGTCGGGAACGTCCTGCAAGGTGGCTCGCCAGGCTTCCAATCGAGAGGATGGGGCAGAAATGGGCACGTGTCAGGCCCAAGAGGTGCCTCACGTGCACGTGAATGACACTACCTAGGTAGGGACCTTAGTCAGAGTGGGTCTCGATCTTGCTCGATGGCCTACGACCTCCATGTTGCCGTGGCAACTGTCGCCCCTTTCAACAATGTAATTGATGAACGGTACGCACGTAGAACGATCGTACCTAATGACGCTTTCTGGGCAAACGACAAACATCTATTCCAGATTACATGACTTGTCTTTCCGAATACAACAGTACGCCTCTTTTTGTCGACCAAGTCGGTCGATGTCGAATCTGACGTCGCAGTTTCCTTCGAATAATCAAGAGCCCGAAAAGTACTCCGAAGACACGGTCGCATTAAACCCACTGCACGACATGCCAGCAGCTTCGGTGGACAGACCGGCTGTGTCTCTGTCCTGTATGTACAATTGTCTTGATATTTCAGGTGTATGCTGATGGAAGCAGTTGCCAACAATTTCTGGGGAAAGGAGGATGCCGGAGTCCAACCTCTCCTCGAGCGCATGCTCGCAGCGAAGCAGACTTCTGACGAACTAAAAGCATTCTACAGCGGTGAGACTAATCTCTGAGCACTGGCGCGGAAATTTAGTTGCTGATCGTGGAAAAGTACGAGCGTCGATTGAAGAAGATTACGCTCGGAAATTGCTATCACTGTGTCGCAAACCGCTCGGCTCCCTAGAGACGGGTAGCCTCAGAACGTCACTCGACACTTTGCGGGGGGAGGTCGAGGCCATGGCCAAACAGCATCAGAATAATGCTGCACAGATGAAGAGCGAACTGGAAGAACCGCTTGGTGCTTTTGCTGGGGGGATGAAGGAGAGGAGGAAGATCGTGCAGAACGGTATCGAAAAGCTGCTGAAGACGAAGATTCAGCAGACGCAGCACGTAAACAAGGTCTGTGTTTGAGCCCAGCCGTCTAGAGTACGAGAAGTATAGGAGGTCGAACTGTCCGCTAACTGACAGCTTGGCAGACACGAGATCGTTACGAACAGGAATGCCTGAAGATCAAAGGTTATCTTGCTCAGGGACATATGGTCATGGGCCAGGAGGAGCGTAAAAACAAAGCTAAACTTGAGAAAACACAGATTTCGGTTGCAACATCCAACACGGAATACGAGCATGCGGTCAAGGCGCTTGAGGATACGACGGCTCGTTGGAACCGAGAATGGAAAGCTGCCGCGGACAAATTCCAGGATCTTGAGGAAGAGCGCCTCGACTTCACCAAAAGCAGCCTTTGGCAGTTTGCCAATATTGCATCCACAGTATGCGTCAGCGATGATGCTTCATGCGAGAAGATCCGTCTGTCTCTGGAGAAGATGGACGTTGAGAAAGACATAATTACCTTCATCAATGACCGGGGCACAGGCCAGGAGATTCCAGACCCTCCGAAATATATCAACTTCTGTAGAGGAGACGCCACCGACACGCAGTCCGAAGCGTCAGAGGACGAAAATTACTCGGTAGCACAGTTCCCCAGGAGCATTAACCCTGCATTCAGATCCTCATCACCACAGCCGTCAACTTACGAGTCTCACCACGACCCGAATTCACACCTCGCCCAGAATCTCGGCCACAGAGAGCCACAACAAACACCAGGACGCGACAGCGGGCTTGCCGCACGAGGGACGCCCCAAGTCTCGAGCGGTGTGCGACACGGTCAGATTGACGCATCCCAAACTCATCATCAGCCGCCGCAGCACCGACTTCCTCACGATACGACCCAGCATGGACCCTTGGCGGCAGTACCACACGACCCCTATCCACTTGATGGCATGACTATGCTCTGTCGCACAGGTCCACCCTCGGAGCGCAGTTCTCATCCTGCTTCAGCTCGGCCCTCCAGCCGAGACTCACATAGCGAGTATAGCTACCCTACGTCGCTATCGAGCCAAGAACCCCCCAGTGGTAAAGCATCCCCGAGCAAACAAGAACAGGTACCACTAGAGGCGGCACCGGAGCGTCGAGTCTTCAAGAAGAGAAGCGGCTTTTTTCAGAACCACAGCCCATTCCGGCGCAAAAGCACCAAAGAAGCAGCGCAGTCGTCTTCCATCAGAAATACTTGGCATTCTGCATCTCACAGCGGCCAAGCCAGTCCCAATCGGCGTCCGCAAATTTACTCGAAGGAGACGTCTACGATACTCTCAGATCGTGCAACGAACAGTCCTGAGCCCATCGATGCGAATGCTAGCCTGGCACTAAACGTAGGCCAGAACGTGTTCTCCGTCACAACCCCGGATATGGAAAAACGGATGGCAAACAACCCGAAGGCCACTCCCGAAGAAAATGATCCGATTGCGTTGGCACTTGCTGAGTTAAAAGGCGTCGGCGCAGACAAGCAAGCAACCGTCAGGGTGTCTGCCGACCGCTACCACGGCATCGCTACGCCTGCCCCCAGCTCGCAGCAGTCCTTTGCCAGATCGGTCCCACCGCTGGCTAGTAGCAGCGCTGCAACCACCGGCCTGAGAGGCACACCCCCACCCTCATATGACCAACAAGTACAAAGACTGGGTGTTCCTCCTGCTGCTGTCACTGCCAGGGCTATGAAGGAAACATCTCAGAAGTTCACTGAACAAGCACGCTCGGTGTTCGGCTCAGACAGTCGACCAGGCTCGAGCGGGTTTACAGGCAATTCGACAGCACGCACTACAACCAGGGGGCGTGAGGTGCCCAGGGCTATGTCTCCAGCGCCGCCTCGAAGTGTATCTCCGAGACCCGATATGTCCAGTAGTGTACGAAGTGCCCATCGCACTGCTTCACCAAATCCTCGCCTGGCCAGCCAGCACGATCTGGGAGCTGGACCAGCCAGGCCTCAGGATCAAGACTACTACCGACAAGGCTCTCCAAACGGTGTGGCGAGATCGGCGTCCCCGGCACCGTTTCGCGAGTATACAAGGTCTAATAGCGGTCCGGCGCAGGTTGACATGTCCGTTCAATTGGCGCCGCTCGGAGATGAGAACCATGGATCACAGCGAGGTCGGAATGGAGGCCGGCCAGGGACAAGCTCTAGCAATCGTGCTATGGGACTTTACGATGGTGGAGGACCCGCGCAAAGCGGTTCGCGTCAGCGAAGCAAGAGTGTTGCTGATCCTTCGCGCCAGTACACTCGAGATGGCCGTGCCATTCTTCACTTTGGTAAGCTTCCGCCATATTCTGGTAAACTATGTTCTGAGCTCTATTGACTGTTGGTCCAGCGAGGGCAATGTACATGTACCAGGCGGCCATTCCAGAAGAGCTTGGCTTTTCTAAAGGCGACATGATGGCTGTGCTCAGGCACCAAGATGATGGTTGGTGGGAAGCAGAGGTACATGGCGGTAATGGACGTGTTGGTCTTGTACCTAGTAACTACCTCCAAGCCTGCTGAAAGATCACACACAGGCAACTGAAGCTTTGTGCTCGAGCAGCGGACCAAGCCGGGCGCTTTGGGTATAGAACACAGTCATATTAGATAGCAAGCAAGCTAGTGTGTATATTCGTGCTGTTTGCCGACGAAAGGTTGTTGGCCACGATTGTAAATTGAGTCAGTCAATGCCAAAACTTTGGAAACGTAGCATGGAATGGCAGGTAATGGCCAAGCGGAAGACGATGTGGCACGGACTAAACAATTTCCATCTGCTACCTCGGTTGGCCTTGTTGTCACCTTTGTTGTGAGACGCTACTGTTGATACATGCCACCAGGTGTATCCGGTGTAATTTCCACGTCATTCGTGTAAACACCTGGTATGAATCCAGGACACGCGAGAAACAGGTATCTTGCCAACCTACTACCTTATCTTACACGCAAGCCAAGCGGTGAAACAAGGTACCTCAAATGAGTATAGTCAGGTCTTTAGGTACGAAGCAAGCTGAATCTGGCAGGTCCTAGCTTCATAGGTGAGGCACGGTAGGCTCCGGTTCCAGCGTAAACTCCCCTGTAGGCCACCCACCCGTGGACACCTCAAGCCTTCATGCCTGCCTAGGGCCTTGCCAAATATATTTCCACAGCGTTTGCACATCGTCCAACCAACCCATAAAGTCGCCGCTTGATCACCACTGTTACATCTATTTTCAAAAAGAAAAGAACAACCAGCCAAAGCCTCTAAGGAGACTCATACTTCATCTCCGGCACACTTAGCACTTAAGGCAGGCCAAGTTTGACACAGCCCAACAAGTTCCTCCCCCCAGCACAGATTGTTGTGATATGTCGTATGATCATTTGCCAACAATCACTGGCATGTACTGGCGATCATCTAAGCTCCCAACCATCACAACCCTACTGACCGGCGCTCCAGCATCACCACTTTTCAACACTCAGACATAGAGCTTCGTACACGACTCCCGTCAGACCTAGCAATACCGGGTACACAAGACTGCAATGGTATTCCTGCACCTCGACTTACGGCTGTGCTTTGTTTGCCCTAGTGGCGGCTGACATCTGGTGCGTCGCATAGGACTCACTTGATCGGGTGTACAAAGCATCCACGTCGAAAGGCGCTCAACGAGCGGCCATCAACTTGAGCCTCTTATTGGGCGGATGTATTCCTTTGTTGCTCATAGCGACAGTTTCAACGGCTTTATTCTATCGAAGTTACATGCCTGAACAAACCATCAGTGTCCCGGTATATCTCCAATATGGGTGAGTGCCCTCGCTCGTCACTGTAGCCGGCGGCATCCAATCTGTAGATGCTCACTGACAGCGCTGCCATAGCTCCGGACGTGACCCATTTGGACTCGCCGATCTCGCAGATACGAATCTGAAGACGCAGCAGGCATACGACATCAGTGTTCTTTTAACTATGCCCTTGTCGCCGACGAATGTTGAGCGTGGCAACTTCATGGTCGTCATGTGTCTCCTGAACGGCGAAACGGCGCCTGCGGCCAGCACAGGAACCCAGCGCGATGCAGATGGTCCATTGCCATTTGATGGGCGGAGCATCGTTCTTCGATCACGCCGCCCAGCACTGTTGCCTTATAGAGACCCATGGATCGTTGCGGCTTCTCGTCTCGTCTTTCTGTTCTATCACCTTGTCGTGCCCAAGTCGCAAGTCTTAACATTAAGCGTACCAATGGCACATAAGATCCTCCTGGCTTCCCAACAGTCCGCCATGCCCACTGCCGCATATGTTGAGATCCAGGCTGGTCAAGATTTACAGACATACGAGACGTCGATTGTCATTACAGCCCAGCTTCACGGTCTGCGTTGGGTTATGCATCACTACCGACTGCTTTCATTCATCGTGGCTACCGTGCTATTCTGGGCAGCCGAGATCACCTTCATGATACTTGCTTGGCTGATCTGGGGCAGGTCGACAACAAGCACACTTCCTCAATCTTCGGTACCAGGAGGCACTGCCCCACGTATAATCATTAAGACAGAGGACAGGGAGTTGGATGAGTTCTCTGATGTTCCCCGGACCTTTCCTACCTTGAGTAAACAATCACCACTCAAGTACGAGCCACAGCTTAACGAGGAGACCCCGGGATTGCGACTACAAGACCAAGCAATTGCCGGTGTCGACGCGGACGATGAAGGAGACGGAGATAAGCAGGATATGTGGAGGGGTGACTCTGGTATTGGTACAAGCTACAGCGAGGCAGGAACAGGCAGTGGCGTGAAAGACATCAGGCGTCGATCGTCGAACCGCCGCAAGCACGAACCGTGAGCAAGGTACTGAGGACTGGGACGTTGAAGGTGTCAGTGGCATGAAACATTCCGCCCAGTTTCAACGTAGATAGCGATGTGGCTGCATAAAGCAGTGACAATCCGCAATCCGCACTTCAGATCGCCTAATCAAACAAATGGTTTCCGCTCCTTGACTTGAAGTCAGCACCACAAATTTCCATTCAACGGGCTCCTGGTTGCCGCCAGGTATGCTCTGCTCCAGTGTACCTAGCCTTCGTCAGTGTGTACCGTGATACCAATGATATGGTGTGGATGTTCTGCAATTCGTCCACGCCATATGTTTTCCTGTCCAAAAAAAAAAAAAAAAAAAAAAAAAAAACACACATTAGAGTAAGGGAGGCAGTAAGGGGGACAGGAGAAACTCGTTGATGCTTCTTCCACTGGACAATACACACGAAGCATAATCCTTCTGGAACACGAGAGCATTGCTCCAGTACGTTTCATGCTGACCGCAGACTCGAATATCTGGGACTAACTTGAATACTCATGTGACGGAGCAGGGCCAAACCCAAGTGTCAGTATCCTATGATCATGCTGTACATCTAGCCAGGTTGGCGGGCGAGAGTTGGACCCAGTAGGGTGTTTGCAAAGGTCTGGTAACTGTCTCCAGATACTGAGTGAGCTATGCTGGCCGGAATCAGATCTACTGCCGTCTCAAGCAAACAGCAGCTGTTGTTGAGCAACCATATTCTCCGACCGAGATGTTGTATAAAAACAATGACGAATATATAAGACTGAGCGAGCAATCTACAAGCTGAGCGGACCGCGACGACACGAGATTAACTTCTAGCTCCTACCTTTCCTGAGGGACTTCAAACCCAGAAGCAAAGGTAATGCCTACCCACCTACCTAGGTACCTACCTAGGTACCTAAGGTGGGTACTGACACCTAAAGTCCCGGCGCTATCTTCTACCAAAGGGCAGCTGCTATTCGCTAACAGCACCACCCATCTCGCCTGACTCGATCCCCACCTCCCCGCGAATATTTGGGAACCTCTGCCATCACCATCACCGCTACCACCACCACCGCTACCCCCCATCGCTTGACCTGACTGAGATTGGCCTCAGCCTCGAGAAGAATCACCACCGCGAGGCTGGGTCGTGTTGTCAGCAGTATACCGGCCAACATACACCATGCCGTGTTTCAAGGGAATCGCGGTCAGTATTCATGCCAACGGGGCACCACTCCCTGAGCATGGCATGCAGAAACAATCACGATTCTCGCGCATCAGCACCTACATACCCGTTCCGCAGCCCCAGGTTGACCTCAGTAGCAACAAACCAGACCCTGCGAAGTTTGCCATCTCGATCACATTGCTGACTCCTGGCCTCCCGATCCCCTACTCGGCACCCAAGCCCACAGACGATAATCCGTACCCCAAGCCCCAGTACGTCGGAGGTCACTCCAACGCGCCTTCAGAGCGGAACAAGGGCTCATGGAACGTGAACCCGTACATCCCCATGACGAACTCGGAAAACGAGACTATTGCTGCCTACATCTACTTCGATGGCAGGTCAAAGGAAGAGGTGGCCACACTTCTCCGACCTGGCGAGGAGACATGGGTGAATAGTCGATGGGTACAAGTTCCCGATGTCGAAGGCGGCGGGCTGGCAGAGCGAGAGTTCTTGTTTCGCGAGGTTGGATTGGAACGCTGGTTGAATGGCCTCGATTTGAAAGGCCACGATGCTGCAGAGAAGCTTGAACGACGCCGGCAAAGGTTTGAAAGGCGCCGTCGACGACAAGGAGCTACCAACGAACCTATAGCAGCGAAATCAGGAGATGGTGGTAGAGGGTCTCGAGACGCCTTCAGGTACGGCGCTGATGCAGGGTCTCCCGTGGAGGCTGTTCTAGACGACATGAGCTCCGATTCTCTTTCTGATGACGATGAACCCCCCGAGGCAACTGGGCAGATCAAGGTCCTCATGTTTCGGGTGCTCGCCTCTGGCGAGATCAAGAAGGGGGAATACTCTCCGCAATTCGATGCCCACGATGATGATGACGAGGCAGAATCGGCTACCAAAGGCAAGAGCAACGGCGGCGGAGGGATGGATGCCGACGTCGAGCACACGACGAGCTTTGCCAAGCCTAAGACTCTCGATCCTAAGACGATCAGTACCCAGACTGTCACTGGAATCGATGGCCCAGATAAGCCATACGCATCATTTACCTTCTTTTACCGCGGCGAACGCAAGTACCCCCAGCGCACACCTAAAGATGATGCACATCGAGACTAATGATAACCTACAGGCCAGCTTCAAAAGATTGGAGTCCTCGCTTCCTCCAAGGTTCCCCAACCTACGCCGGGCTCAGCCAAAAGGCGGTCTGGTCAGCTCGACTTTTCAACTTTGGGACCTCTCAAGTCAACTGGGACAGTCGGCTTCTCAACCTTTCGCGATCAGAAGACGGACGCCACAAGGCGGCGCAAAGCTCGGAAGAAGAGTATTGGGCAAGCTGGCAGTGCCTTGCAGGACGACAGTGATGATGAGGACGATGACGACAGCGAAGTTCTTGGCAAGATGGAGGATATTGAAGAGAAAGACCTCGGCTCAAAGATGACGCCTGAGGATGGCCAATATTCGGGTGAACTTGCTGACGGCGTGAACCGTATACGTGTAAGTTTGTCCAATATGATGAACCTAACAAGACAAATCACCATACTGACTGACTGCCTCGAAACAGCTTAAGCGAGCGCTGTCTGCGGATCCAGGCTCTGTGGCCACTGATAATGACACCACAAACGCGGGTGGTGACTCGGCCGTTCAAGCTTCAATTGCTACGCAGGCGACCAGTCTGACGTCGGAAGCAGCAGCGATTCTTGAGCCGACGCTACCGAGCTCTGTCTTCGGCAGCCCCCTGAAGAAGCAGCGTCCGAGTATTCCGGGTCCAGGTGATCAGGTTCCGCCTCTCGGCCTAGCTGCGTCCCTGTTGGATGGCAGTGTTGCACAGTCTACCATGCCATCTCAGCCGAGCACCAAGAGAGAGGAGGTAGAGGAAGACTTGTGAAAGTGCCACTTCAACACTCGCAGGCTCTTCATCCGACCTGGTTGCTATGACGATATGATATAAGGAAACTACCCTCTCACGAAGCTGTCGTGGCGCAGATGATACAAGCTCATGGTTGCGGACAAATGTATATATTGCCACACCGACGCCTCTAAACTTGGCCCCCGCTGATAGAAGTTGAGCCAGTAATCATGTTGCTTGTAGTACCACATCTGGGATTACTGAGTCGAGACTTCTTCATGAGTGATATTTTAGTACTAACCTTACGTATGAATGACTCATATTTATTTAGCTTGTTAGCATCAACACGGGGCCCTAAGTTTCACTGTTCCACGACATGGCATTCTGCAGTCGCTCAAGGGGGAGATTTCCTCCAAGGTGTAGAACGTTCCGACATTTTCAAGACAACCCCCGGCCAGTGAAAAATCCTGAATACATTTGCCGGTCCACACGTACAAGATGAAATGCACAACGGAATCAGGAGTGCAAATTATATTTGTCTTGATTATGTACATTATCTGAGGCGAGGACAATGACTTCGTACAAGCTTGAGTCAAACAAGATTTGGACAGTATGTGCGTCAAGCAGGTCGCATCGATTTCATCACGTGTTCCGCTGTGCGGCAGCTGGACCGAGGATGGTCTTAATTGTGGCAAGTGTCGCCAACGAATACCTGGTTTTCATATAATCAGCAAGTGCTCCGTTGAGTATGTCCAAACAGATAAGAGTAACATCTGTTGCAAATTCAGACTGTTGAGCTTGATATATTGGATCAACATGAGGGTTCAGTTGGCCGTTCTTAATGGAAGATTGTGTCATCAGGAAGGAAGAGAAAGAAGTCAGCGTAAGCGCTTACATATGAGACATACCTGTGTTTTAGAACCGTCAACTGTATGGTGAATGGTTAGCCAACAGTAGAGTGGCGATGATGTTTGTAGACAGAAAGAGTTTGTTGACGGCAGCTGGATCAGATTGCAAGTTTTTAAGGTGCCTGGTATGCAAGCCCCCTTAGAAGCAAGAGAAATTAAGGGGGTGCAGAAAGCAAAGACAGACCCCGCCATTCATGTACTAAAGCGACGGATGCAATTTACCTGGCCAGGTAGGTACCTTACCTTACCTTACCTTTTAAGGTACCTAGGTAGGTAGATAGGTACCTTAGGCGCTCATTTAGAGAGGGGAGCATGGGTATGGAACCTGGTGGAGGGGCCTCTCCCAGTCCTCGATGCTCCAGCCACCATTAGCATTTTTTGCGACACCTTGGTACATGAGCGGGACCTGATCAACCCCTCCTTCTATCAACGTCGCAGCCTGACCGCAAACCCATTCCGCTGCTCAACGACCCGTGCTCCAGACCAGATTTCCTTACGGTTCAACAACCCACACGCTTGACACTCACAGACCAAGCCACACGCATCCGTCATCATGTCAACTCCCAGTAAGTCAGCCTAACCCTCCATGCGACTTGGTGTTCGCGCTTCACCCACTGCGATTACCCGGGGCTAACGCGCAATTTGTAGACTTCGAAGAGGTCGCGAGTACGTGCAATAAAATACCAATACGATAGGCAACTCCGGCGACTGATCATTCCTGCACAGAGCAATTCGTCGAGTTCTACTACAACCAGTTTGATTCTGATCGCAAGGGACTGACCAGCCTCTACGTGGGTTCACACTCTCGTATCTTCAACAACCACATCAAAAGCTGACATGCACAACCAAACAGCGCGAGCAGTCCATGCTCACCTTTGAGAGCAGCTCCGTCCTAGGTGCCACCCCCATCACCGAGAAGCTGTCCTCGTTGCCTTTCGAGAAGGTCAAGCACCAGGTTTCTACTCTTGACTCCCAGCCCACCGTTGAGGGCGGTATCATCATTCTCATTACCGGCCAACTTCTGGTACGTGTGCAAGCTTTTGCTGATTCAACCAACCATCTCTATACAAAGACTGACGTGACCTTACTTGGGTTCTATCTAGGTGGATGAGGAGCAGCGCCCCATGAACTTTTCTCAGACCTTCCAGCTCATGCGGGACCCTTCGGGCAACTACTTTGTCTTTAACGACATCTTCAAGCTGGTGTTTGGTTAAGCTTTGGAACGCTTCTAGAGCGTCTCTTTGCCAACAAAAGACGAACTCGCTTGTTTCAGAGCGTTTTTCTGCAGCACAGGACGTGAGGCGAGAGTAATGGACGCAGATCAACACATCACAAAGCAATACTTATGCGTTAGGTATCCAGGTCTGATAGACTGATACGATGCCCAAAGATCCCCACTGGCCTTTCTTCGCGGGTTCAAATCCGTCCTAAGCTTCCCTGCACAGCATGATGTTTGCGGCGCCGTAAGCTGAGTTTCTCGCGCAGTGCTACTTAGCTGTCATTGTCGCAGTCCCGTCTTCTTCAAAAATGAGTTGCGCATAGTTGCCACGAATTATCTCATGCGTAGGGCTGGCGATCGCTGTAAGTGTGCTCGATTTAGGTCCAAGTCCGAGGTCTCGGATCCGGCCACTTGGGGCATCCAACATATAGCCGTGGACCTGAAGATTTCGACTCGCTATGTGTTCTTGAATTGTGACGTTGGCCAACAGTGCTGTAACGCCGTACTCGATGTTCTTCTCGGCAATCAGCATCTCTTGGGCGCCGTCATCCTGCAGACACAAGAGCTCGTTCGACAGCTGCTGTCGAATTGCTCTCAGCGGCGCGAGCCAAGTGTCCAAAGTGCCGCCTACACGCTTCAGAGCCATGGCTGACTGTATCCCGATACATTCCGAGTGGCCACAGATGACGACGTGTTTGACAACGAGATGCGCGACTGCAAATTCGATGACTGCCGAGGTGCTGATGTCTAAGGGTGAGATAATGTTGCCCACATTGCGGTGTGTGAGTACGTCGTTAGGATGTAGGCCTAATATATTGCTCGCTGGGATGCGGCAGTCAGAGCACTCGAGCCACACTGTTACGGTACTCAGTCCTGCCCTCAATGTGTGCTTCTAGGGAGAGCACTGCCCAAGTACTCCGCCCAAATCTTTGGAACCGGAAGCTTGTGATAAGGAAAGACGACTTACAAATGGATGGCAACTGGCTATTGGCCTGAGATTGCAAACCAGCAGGCTTCTCGCGGGTGCAGCCCGCCTGGGGCTGGAAGGAACTCAACATGTATGGAAAAATGTCTGGACCTATCAGCAATGATTTGAGGGCTTGGGACATGCTACATTGTCTCACCGTTGCTCGACGCCACATATGCGTCAAGGTCTTGAGTTTTGCTTAGGTTGATGGTAAGTTGGCCAGGGCAATTGAGAAGAGCATTGTATAAGCGTCGTCCTGTATTGAAATCAATTACAGATGTCTGGGACAAAAGCTTAGGCATCGAGAGCGCCCTGCCCAGGTGATAAATAATTTAAGCCCCAGACAGGAGAACATACATCATCAAGAGCTACCCCTTTGTGTTTGAAATCTAGGCTCAGGACCAGGGAATACGGGAGGTCACCGTATAGCCAAGCGTCCGAACCCCTTCCGGGATTTGATCCTGCCTTTTCCAAGATTTGTATGGCTTGAACGAGCTAGGACATCCTAGCCCGCCCACCTCCAGCTCTTGAGACGCAAATCAATCACTTAGCACATCGCCAAGGGCTATCACCACCCCTAAAGTCCCGATCCTGAAACATATGAAGCAACACCTTGACAGATGGCTCTTATTTAAGTGGCTGTGGGTGCATGAAGATACCAGGCAAACTAGTGTGGCTTCATAGCTGCACCCTCCTGAGAGCGCAGTCTAGTATCATGGAGAGATGATTTACATCAATGTCTCAAGGTTCACCTGGGGTCATGCAGATTACAGAGAATACTAGCATTGACTCGTGAACCGTGACTCCTATGCCTTGGTGTGTATTTGCCATACTGCCTGCCTCTTGAGGAGAGGCTAAGATGCCTTGACAGCAGTAACAGCGTAATCGAGCTGCTGCTGCTGCTGACTTTTCCTATCGCGCAAAAGCAAAACCGGGTATTTCGATGTCTTAGACCTTAATGGCCGACTCGAGAGCCTTCTTCTTCTTGGCCATGGCGTTCTGAGCCTTCTGGCCCATGATACCACCACCCCACTGCTTCCTCGACTGCTCGGTCTTCTCCAGGTAGCCATCCTTGACGGCGGAAATGAGCTTCGAGAGTTCGCTCTTGTCCTCGGAACGGACTTCAGTCACGGCCAGAACGGCGGCAGTCTAGTTGCTAGGGTTAGTCGTTGATTGCGATCCATCTTCGGCTGAACGCTCATACCTTCTTGTGGACAACAGTTCCGAGACGAGCCTTGCCCTTGATGATGGCGTAGGGAACGCCCATCTTGCGGCAGAGCGCCGGCAGGAAAATGACGAGCTCAATGGGGTCAACATCGTTGGGGATGAGGACCAGCGACGCCTTCTTGTTCTCGATCAGACCGACAACGTGGTTCAGGCCGTACTTGACCGTGTAGGGCTTCTTGCTGACGTCCTCCTTCTTCTTGCCGTCCTTGACGGCAGTGGCCTCCTTGACGAGACGCTCCTTCTTCTCGGCCTTAGTCTCAGGGCGGTACTTGTTGAGCAGCTTGAAAGCCTGGGCGGCGGTGTTGCGGTCAAGGACGTGCTGGAACTGGGCAATCGCAGGGGGGACCTTCAGGCGCATGCTGAGGATCTTCTTCTGGCGCTGAAGACGGACATACTCGGGCCACTTCACCATGCGCGACAGGTTGCGGCGGGGCTGGATATCTTGACCGATGCCGAAGTTGCGGGCCTTGCGCTCGAGGAGAGGGTTCTGAAATCATCATGATGAGCATTTCGCAGGAAGCGTGGGTCATAGTGTGACAGGTCTTACCTTAGGGCCCTTCTTGCCAGCCTTTCCCTGAGGGAAAGGGGCAGCAGCCACCTTCTTGCCGGACTTGGGAGGCTATCATTGAGGAAGAAAGACATCAGCGACTTGATCAGACCACGTTGTCTTTCTTGAGCTCTAAAGAGACGACAATTTGCACAGATGTGCTCATCGAACGCCTCAAGCCATATCATCACCCAGTTCAGCAAGAATTGCATTCATGCTGAACTCTGTAGGCGGAATGATTCGATCTGCCAGAGCAAAACCGAAAGCTATGCTCGACGAGCTTGGAATGATGTGAGCCCAGAGTGCTCGACATTGTTTCAACTTACCATTGTGACAGTTGTTCCTGCGGTTGGCGATTGTCGGTTAGTGGGAGGAGGGAACGACGGTGGTGAGAGTGCGTGCGAATTTTATTCAAGTGACTTGGTGGGAAATATTCATTGCGCTAAACCTGTGGGTGGGGTCCTCAAGGAAAAAAAAAGGTACGTACTGTCTGCCGCCTAGGGTTGCTGTAAGGAAGTTGTGGCGCGTGGGGCCTTCCTTTCACGTGATATACGTGCCGTTCCTTAGTTACCCAGGTACCTACCTAGGCTGCCTAGGTTACCTTATGCACGAACCACTACAGAGCATTACCTAAGGTCTGTAAAGTCTTAGAGCGATTCTTCTGGCATGCGGGCTTCAGACTGATGCTTGGTTAGAGGTCATCTTGCCGATAAAGAACCCTTTGCCTCGTCTCAATTCAATCTCTTGCGCTCGCCAGAATCATCTCGTCGAACTGGGGCCGAAACCATCTCAGTCATCTCCACGCCCTCTCAACCTTCAGCCTGGTTGAGTCAGCGTCATAAATATCCAGCGAGCCTTCTACCAAATTTTCAAGTCGAGTCATCCCTCAAGTAGTAAAAGGCAAGATGGCGCCGATCATCTGCGCCAGGTGCAACACTGACCGAGCTGTTGTTAAGAGACCGAAGAATCACCAAAAAATTTGCAAGGCGTGTTTCATCTCGGTCTTCGAGGATGAGGTTCATCACACAATCTTGTCGTCAAAGCTGTTCAGTAGGGGTGATAGAGTGGCCATAGGGGCATCTGGTGGCAAGGATTCGACTGTCCTTGCATCAGTCCTCAAAACCCTTAACGAGCGCCACGATTACGGACTTGACCTGATTCTCCTCAGTATTGATGAAGGAATCAAAGGGTACCGTGACGATTCTCTGGAGACTGTCAAGCGAAATGCCATACAGTACGACATGCCCCTGACTGTTGTGGGCTACGATGAGCTATATGGCTGGACGATGGACCAAGTTGTGGGCACCGTGGGCAAGAAAGGCAATTGCACCTACTGCGGCGTTTTCCGCCGGCAAGCCTTAGACCGAGGGTCGAAGATGTTGGGCATTCGGCATCTGGTCACCGGCCACAATGCGGACGATATTGCAGAGACAATCTTGATGAACCTCTTAAGGGGTGATCTGCCGCGACTGTCCCGGAGTACAAGCATCATGACGGGTGACGACAGTAGTGACGTCAAGAGGAGCAAGCCTCTGAAGTACTCGTACGAGAAGGAAATCGTCTTGTATGCCCACCACAAGAAGCTTGACTACTTTAGTACCGAGTGTATCTATAGCCCAGAGGCGTTCAGAGGTACAGCCCGAAGTTTGATCAAGAATCTCGAGCGTGTGAGGCCAAGTGCGATACTCGACATTGTCAGAAGTGGGGAGGATATGGCACGCCTCGTTCCCGGGTCAACATCAAATCCCTGCGCTTGCTCAGGCCAAGGCTCAGTTGAAGACGACGATGCGCCATCATGTGGTTCCAAACAGGGCCACAGCATGGGAAGCGAACTTGCCGTCATCGAAGCGAAGTCTGGCGAAGCCGCTGCGGAGAAGCCTTCAGAAGTTGATTTCACCTTCACGACAAACAATAAAAACAAGACGCAAGCGAATAGGGCTACCAGAAAGGAAGCCTCGTCCATCGCGGACACGATGAGCGAGCTCCAAGTTCTAGGAAAGTGCAAGCGGTGTGGTTACATGACCAGTCAAGCTCACTGTCAAGCTTGCCTCCTAGTTGACAGCCTCAACAAGAACAGGCCCAGATTGGAAATAGGAGACAAGTAGCTCAATCAACCAGCTTAACAACAAGTAGTGTATGCAAGATAATGGCATTAATGCTTGGATCCCAGGGTTTTATGTTGCTGCCCAACTTTGACTTGTACGTCTTGCCTGCATCCGCAATGGCACAAGCAAGTTGCCACGTGGCATCTGATGTATGCTCTCAGTCTCAGGTCCTCAGTTGATATGTTCGGCTGAATCTCTAGACCTGCCATAAGTGATCGCAAAGAACCACCAAAGCTCTGCCCTGCCCATCGCCCCAATGTGTTCGTCGCCCTGACTAGTTTACGAAATCCTCTTTTCTAGCTGTAATTAGGCTGTCAGCAATTTGTTCCTCTTTCAAAAGGTGAATAGAACTAGGCTCAGCTCACTCTCCATGGGTTATTGAGTTCGAAACCGGTCGGAGCGATCGGATTGTCCGTCTGTCCTCTAAGGTTGCCCGTCAAGCGACGGTCACGATCCATCACTGTACAAGCGGCCGGATTAGCTTTATGGAATAGATTGAAGAGTCGTAGTAACGGCCTTACTTTGCTATGGAGCGGTCAGCGAAGGTCCTGAACACGTCATGATATGGAGAAACGTACCTTGTCCCACTGGTCAAGGCTGTATCGGGGCTTCTTGCCGCCATTCTGAATACCCTTGACAACGGCTAAACCAGTGCCAGTGATACCAAACATCTGTGAATAGTATCAGAATCATCGTTGAGAACGAATTCCTGGCCTCGCATACCGCAACGATGATCCCGTAAGGGATCAATGTCTCGAAAGGAACAGGCATGATGGCTAGCTGCTTAAATGAGTCGCTATAGGGAGGAAAAGATTGAGATGACCGTGATTCCGCCTTGCGGTCTTGCCGCCAATTGGATATTGACGAATGGTCTAGGTGCAATGTCGCGCGGCGTGAATGCCACTATTACGTTGCGTAGATCGAAGGGTTGTCGCGATATCTTCAGTGAGGCCGCAATGCGAAGCATCTTAGTGGTCGAACATTACATGCATGCCGAGGGATTCTTACGTGATCAGGCCAGCACGTGACCATGCGTCAACTTCCAATCCCATTCATTGACTTCACTGATGGGCTTGGAACCTCCAGCGTTATCTGACGATTGCAGCCTTATCTGAGCGACCAGTCCAAAGCCACGGGGCTGCACAGTGTATCGCACACTGATGAACTGTCTCAAGCAACAACACCAGCTTCGGTGGAATTAGCTTTACTCCTCAACAACAGCTCCCGGCCGCCATAAGCTTTTTCTCTGTTAGTTTCCCTGGCTCGTAACCCCAAAGCCCTAGGAGGAGTACACGACAAACCAAACAGGACCTACAGGTTGCGTTTCTGCGAAGACAGCCCACCCGCCCCTGGCACTCTGTCACCACGCGACAGGCGCGTTCCAAGACCGCGTTGTTGCGCCCTGAAATGGGCCACCACTGCCTCTGAGCTTTTCGAACCTCCCACTAGACCCGCAATCTCGATCATAATACGCAACAGATACAAAACCAGCTCGAAAGTCAGCCGACATGGCCAGTGCTCAGCTAGCAGCCGAAGAGGAGCTGCAACAAAGCGTTGTGGTTTCTGAGGAGGACTTGGAGCGCGATGACTCCGACTCCTCGAATGCGGCCATGTTACCTTATCAAAATCAGGACGACACATCGGAACCCTTGAGGACTGGATCCGGCAATCAGTTATACCTGCACGTCAATGGCTTGGAAGACTTGACAATTGAAAGATACGGCGGTCCTACAGCTACCTTGGTCTCCAAGAATGCTGAGTCTGTCGAAGATGATGCTGAAGGGGAGGAGGATGCCCCAGGCGAAGATGACGGCGCTGCAGATGCCGAAGAAATTGTGAATCCCTACGATGAGAACGATGCTGAAGGGGAGGAAGATGTCGAGCATGTTGTGCAGCTCAACATGGATCAAGATGAAGGCGTCGGCGAAGCAGTTGAACAGTCCACAGGGAGTGTGCAATCTGGCGACGACGAGGATGACAACGATGACGAAGGCGTCGGAGCTGTCAAAATCCGGCCTGGCGACACCGACGACGAAGATGATGTCGATAGCGAACAATCACATTCAACTACCGATGGCTCGGAAGACTCAGACGGCGCAGCTGCCTGGGAGGATGCCCCAGAAAGCCACGAAGATGAGGATGAAGAGTCAGATGCTGCAGGTCGGACTCTGTGCTTGTTCTGCAAACAGGATGAAGAACATGACCCGGGCGAAGACTTTGAGGACTACCTAATGTGCTCTCATTGTGGCGAGAACTGTGCGTTTTACACCAAAGACGAGACTATGCATACTGACAGTTTCCAGCACATCAATTTTGCGCGCGAGAAACCGGTGCTTTGCGATCGCACGATGGTATGCGGCTGTTTTCTTTGAGCATCAACCAATTTGACAGCTTCAGGTGCCAGTACTAATGTGTGAGCGTAGATGCAAGCCTTTGGAGCTGTCCGAGCTGCGTCTCGTCTACAAAGCTGACCGCCGAACCTCCTGACACTCACCCAGCTAATGGAACGAACCAACCATTGGTGCCTACAACTGGCGCAGTTCCCGACCAATCTCAACCTAGTCTGGAGACATCTGATCCGCCTAAACACGATGGTCCAGAAGTTTTTGACAAGCAAGAATATCCCGATGTGGATGGCGATGACGATGAACATACACGACTTCTTCGAAAACGCCGAACTTCTCCCTCTGAACCCGACGACAGCGCAATGTTACTTCGTAAGCGTCGGCGGCGCACGCCCGAAGAACAACATTCGTCGCGTGAAACCACGTCTCACAACGCTCAAAGCGAGACTGGTGAGACAGACAAACCTCGAAAGTTGCGCCTCAAGGTGTCTCGGAATCATGCCGCCGTCACTGTCACCAGGCGGTCGAATAGCATGCTCATTAGCATTCGTGTAAACCCTGCTGGCTTACGACATGTCATGGTGTCGAAAGCATCTTCGAATCGTAAGCGGACGGCAAGGAACGAGCCGGCGCGATCAGTTCGACCGAGCCTCACAGCGCTGCCGACGCCATTCATGTCGTCAAGTAGCTCTCAACCATTCTATTCCTTCCTTGATCGAGAGACGGACGATATAAGAACAAAGCCCTATGGTGGCATTCTTACTGACGTCGAAGCCGACACGTCTCGCACGTTGCCTACAAACGATGACCGCAGACGCTTTGACGAAGCCAAGCAAAAGGCTGAGGAAGAATGGAGGACAATGCACGTCATCCAGATCAGCCGCGAAGGCGCTGAAAAGGCCAAGAAGGGGAAAAAAGCGGCTGGTCCGGCTAGCCAAATCGAGTGCATCGAGTTTGGCGGTTGGGAAATCGACACGTGGTATGCAGCACCCTACCCCGAGGAGTACAGCAGGAATCGGATTCTGTACATCTGCGAATTCTGCCTCAAGTACATGAACTCTGACTACGTGGCATGGCGCCATAAGCTCAAGTGCCCAGCTAAACACCCTCCCGGAGACGAGATCTACCGGCACGGGTCCGTTTCTGTGTTTGAGGTGGATGGGCGCAAGAACCCGGTGTATTGTCAGAATCTCTGTCTCCTCGCAAAATTGTTCCTTGGCTCGAAGACCCTCTACTACGACGTTGAACCCTTTCTGTTCTACGTACTTTGTGAGTACGATGATCTCGGCTACCACTTTGTCGGATATTTTTCGAAAGAAAAGCGAGCCAGCAGCCAGAACAATGTGTCTTGCATCTTGACACTGCCGATCCACCAGCGCAAGGGCTATGGCAACCTTTTGATTGACTTCTCCTACCTGTTGACGCGCGTAGAGAAGAAGACGGGCTCTCCGGAAAAGCCATTGTCTGATATGGGCCTTGTCTCGTACCGAAATTACTGGCGGCTCGTCATGTGCCAGTATCTCCTGAAAAGATGGGATGGTGGCGGTGAAGACCAAGGGAGCCCGGTTGGACTGAGTTTCCGTCAGATCTCAGACGACACAGGACTGACCCCCGATGACGTTATCTCAGCACTTGAGGGACTGAGATGCTTGATTCGGGACGCCAAGACTGGCTTATATGCCTTTCGGCTAGACCTTGCGTACTGCAGAGAGTACGTGTCGAAGTGGGATGCTAAGCAGTACGTCAAACTCCATGAAGAAGCTCTGGTCTGGACGCCTTACGTGATGGGGAGGGGAAACACGACAAACTTTGAGCTGGGCCCTGCCATCACTGCCATGGCTCCCCGGGAAGAGGAGGAAGACCGCAAGATGGTCGCGCCGCCCCTTGTCAATGGCGTTTCAACGGGCGTGGCTTTGGAGAGTCAGAGCTCGGTTCTCGTGCCTGCGGAGATCGGTCCAGCGCCCGAGAAGCTCACTCCAGTAGAGGGTGTAGCAGATGAACAGAGCGCCTTAGCGGACCAGGTCCGTGAATCGACAGAGCCTCATGACGACCCTGTTCCGGCGGCTTCCTCCACACCAACACAGTCGCAGGCAGCGGCAGGGCATGTGTCTTCAACAGCCTGGTTCGAGCAGTACGAGGGCATTCTCGCGTCCCGTTTTGAGGTCTACCCCGCCAGCCGGTGGGCGGCGCCAGGACCGCCCACGAGCCTTCGATTCCGCGCCCTGCGATCGTCCGCACGGCTCCACTCAGCAGCAGCAGCAGCGCCAAACCCAGACGGTCAGCGGGTGGCGGCAGCGTCAAGCGTCCGTCTGCGAGCAAGCCCAAGGCGAGCGGGACCTCGCGCCGCAAGAGCGGTGGCACCGGCCGCGGCCCAGGCCGTTGGCCCAAGGGCACAAAGAAGAGCGACTATGGCAACGCCGACAGCGGCCCAGGCCTGCCGCCGGCATGGGTGCAGGAGCGCCAGAGGCTCCTCGCCGAGAGCGCCAAGAAGAAGGGAACCGGCGCGGCTGCGCATGAGGCGGCCGGCGGGGAAGCTGCCCGGGTCCAGTTTGAGGATCCGGTGGCGTCGCATGGTGACGCCAGAGTATCCGGGGCAGCGGCACCTGGTGGGGACATTGCTTATACCAATATTGCGAGTGATATCCCGGCTGTTGGAGACGAGTAGCGAGGTTCGAGACGATTAGGTGTATTTTGTTTCTCATCCTTCCACATCTCCCCCCCAACAATTGCTCCCTCTGTGGAGGCAATGCTCACAAAGCCATGGTCGTATTTGTGTTCTTGTATGCATATAATATTACTTTTTGCCTCTAAAGAGAAGCAGCGCGACGGCTGTTCCGAGACGAGTATGTAGCGACATTGACGAATACGTGACCCATCTGATAACCACAACATGTCAAACAGAGGAATGAGACCAACAATCTAAGCAGCACGGCCATGATCCCAGGTGATATGGTGTGTGTTGTCGTTGTTTGTCGGTTAAAATGTATATGGATAATGCCCCACCAGTTCAAGGGAGCTCAAGCTCATATGGCTACATCAAAAGCGACCAGACACCCGACCGTCTTCCTATTCGGCCGCCTTTACTCCATATCGATGCGTTGCTCTGCGTATGCCACAGTGGACACCAAAAACTCCTTTCGTTCCAAACACCCTTGGGCATGTCAAACAAAGCCACCCATTTGACGCCATCCATTGACGACCCCAACCATATTCTGCCAAAGCTAGCCAGAATTGCCATCTGCTGCGCGTGTCGGAACTGGCTCAAGCCACGATGGTGGCGTCGTTACAGCACGACTTGGTAAGAAGAGCTACTCTCCAGCCGGCACAGCGTCTCCGTAGAAGCAAGCATTCCCGCGACATCTGTCGCCATACCCCGTTGGTCCCAACGTCATCTTCTCCAAGAGCAGAAGCCCTTCGTTTCGGCTGGATCAAGGTTAGGACTCGGTGGTCTCGGGACCGCTCGCATTGACTGCATCTTCCGGAGCCGGTAACCCTTCGTCCTGACCCGCAACCTCGGCCCCGGTTTGAGGTGTTTCGAGCCCCACCCCCCCGGCATGATCATGATCGGATGCTGGCTCACGCGCTTCACACCTCCGACTGTGGAACCAGCCGCCACGCTCCCATTCTCCTTCCTGGTAAAGGCAAGACGTACGCACATTGTCGTCGACGATGCCGAGAAGCAGCGTGTGGAGTCGTTTAAAGTCGACTGGTTTGAGAATCCAGCCGTCGAATCCAGCATCTGCATACGTGTTCTTCTCGCGTTCGATCAAGGAAGCAGATACAGCAAAGACGGGTACCCTGCCGTTGTGCGCAGCTAGGGCTGAGTGGCGACAGTTCTCGTGCGATTGCTCAAAAGATCGTATCATCTTGGTACTTGCCAGACCATCGACAATAGGCATCTACCGGTACATTGTTAGCAACAGCTGGCGAAATGGATCTGGATCATGCCAGGTGGAAGGTAACGGACCTGCATATCCATGAGCACCACGTCAAAGGTCTCAGACTTTTCGCGAAAAGACAAGGCGCATTCCTCTCCATTGACTGCGTGGTGCACCTCGTGGCCAGCCTTCTCAAGTCGTTTCCTCAATACCCTTAGATTGATGGGATCATCTTCTGCAATCAAGACCTGCAGCTTTGTGCCGTCCAGGTTGGGAAGCGAGCTCGTCGCTGTGTCGGTCTCGGAGGGTGCTGGCTGCGGCTGCTGCTGCATCGTGGGCTCGGGAATTTCGTAGAGCACCCGAGATGACGAAGGGGCTTCTTGCGGCTCGTCGAAGTACTCCTCGGGTACTTTGACTGGTCGGATCGGCGTCTTGGTGTCTCGCACGGAGACGAAGCCGGTCGTTTGCTGGCTGGGCAGAACGATTGCCCCTGGCGACCTTGGGTCGCTGTGCCGGGTGGTCGCAGGGCTCACGGATCGCGCTGTCGATGCGGCGTCTGCTCCCACGTTGATGCCGGAGTCGTCGTGACGTCCCTTGACGGCTCGGTGCCGCGACGGAGACCCTGTGACGTGCTCGCCAATGCCCAGTGGGGTCTGGATGGCGTCAATGAGTCTTTCCGCATCACTGAGGGAGCTGTGAACGCTTGTGCGGCTGCCTTTGCTGCCGCCTCCGCTGAAATGGCTACTGGTCTGGCTCCTGAAGCTGCCCGTCTCTATAACGTTGCCGGTTGTCTCGCCAGGGGACTTGAGAGCGTGCGGGGCTGTCCCTGCGTCAACCAGGACGATCTCACCTGCGCTGGGCCGTTGAGGTTGTTTCGTGGCCGATGCAGAATTCGCGTCGGGCACGGGATTGCTTTGCTGGCCAGATCCCACGGAAAGCGAAGGTGACTCGTCTGGTATGTCAAACGGCAACTGCATGACAAAGGTCGACCCCTTGCCCTCCTCCGACTTGAGCCGCAGTTGGCCGTTCATGTTGCGTATGATTCGAGCGACCAAGGCAAGCCCCAGCCCCAACGTCCGCTTGTCTGACGAAGAGGAGTCGTCGTCGGCAGTCAACTGCCTGCTGCTGTCCGGATTGACCTGCTCCAGGTCACGGAAAAGCGCATCGAGCTGCTTCGGGCTCATGCCCCTTCCCGTATCCTGGATCAGAACCTCGATCAGGACTCGTTGCTCTTGGACCTCGGCCACGTATAATTGCACCTTGACACTTCCCGAGTCGGTGTGCTGAACGGCATTGGCTGTCACGTTGGAGATGGCCTGTCTCACCCTGCGGCTGTCACCATACACAAAGGATGGCAAGCCAGGATCCTCAATGATTTCGTACTCGATAGCCTTGCGCTTGGCCTCGTTTTTAAAGGGGTCAGTCGCTTCGTGGATGCAGCTGGAGAGGGTGAATATCTCGTCTTTGACCAGATCCTGCCCCTCTTCCGTCTTGGTGAGGTCGAGCAAGTCGTTAATGACGTAGATGAGTGACTTTGAGGCCGAGTGGGACTTGGCCAGATTGTCGCGCGTCTCTTGGTCCAGGGAACCCTCCAAGGCAATCTCGAGGTAGTTGATGATTGCGTTGAGCGGCGTGCGGACTTCATGCGCCGAGTTGGCCAAGAGTAGTTTTGTCAGCTTGCTGCTCTGCAGCGCTGCCTCCTTCTGTCTCCAAACCTCGATGAACTTGCCGTAGACGAGGCACAGCACGGCGGCGGTTTCGACCTGCTCTTCAGTCCAGTCTCTGCACTTGCCGACCACCGTCTCGTGCCACGTCTTGAAGCTTTTCCTGGGTTCCAGGTACGCCTCCGTACCTTCGCGGAGGATCTTCTCGTAGGGGTTTCCGGCCCACTTGACCTCTTTGACTTGACCCCTTCGGAAGAAAACGATAAAGTCGGTGCCTCCGACGCTCAGCGGCACGTAGAGCAGGCCGGCGATCGTGACAAAGCCGGGTTTGTAATGCAGATCCGGAAAATCCTCGCGAATGTCCTGCGTGGTCACGACGGACGACATGTGGCGCATGCGCAGATATTCCAGCATGGCAAGCGGCTCCGACGACTCTTCGACGGGTCCGAGAATCTTCGTCTCGCCGTGGATAGAAAGCATGCCGAAATCGGCATCAAACAGCTTCAGCAGATCATCCGAGGATGCGACAATGTAGCCCGAAGGGCTCTTTTCAGAAGGCGCCGTGTTGATGAGTTTGCGGGCCTGCAGTCTCGAGGCGTACGACAGGCGTTCAATGTTGCGCGAAGCCGTGTCGCCAACGAGTCGGCACATTTTTCGGATGGGAAACGAGACCCTCATGCCCTTGGGACCGTAGCTGTGACAGGCAATGAGGCCCCAGAGTTCGTTGAACGCGTTGATAGAAATGGACATGGAGGAGCGGACGGCCATGTTCTTTAGGTATTTGAGGTGAATGGGCGACATGGCGCGCAGATAGGCATGGCTCATGTCGAGAGGAACGTCGAGATCCTCTTGCGTCTTGCACACAAGCCTCGCCGTCTCGACGTCTCGGTCGTAGAGAAGTCGCACCTTGTTGAGCTTATACAGGTCACGAGCTTGCCGCGGGATGTCGGAGGCCGGGAAGTGCAGGCCTCTGTAAAGATCGCGCGTGTGGCTGGTATCGACGAGCTCGGTGACGACCTTGCCGTTGAAGGAAGAGTCAAACTGGTAGATCATGACACGATGAAAGCCCGTCAGCTCCTTGACGATGCCGACAAGGACCTTGAGGAAAGAGTCCAGCGAGGGCGCCGCCGCAAGCTGTTCCTGCACCTGCGACATGATGTCGAAAACCTGCATAGCGCCGGCCTCGCCCCTCTGCCTCCTCGCCGTTCTCAGGACCCTCAGCGGTTTGCTGAGTATTTCGGTACTGCTGGAAAGCTCCTCCATGGTGGGGTCGGATCGGAGGGTGTCTTCCGGCGCGTCGGGAACGACCTCGTCCGCCGGGCGTAGAGGGTACAGGTGATCGTCGTCGAGCTCAAACTCGCAAATGATGAGGTCGGGATGAGCTGGATTGATGTGAATGGCGCACCAAAGCTTGGTGCTCTTTCGTCTCGACGAGCGGACCGTCAAGCTGAAGACCTCGGGCCCGTTGGTGGCAGGATCGGCATCTTCATCCCGAATAAAGTCAATGTGATCCAGGAGGTTGTCTTGTTGTTCCTCGCTCAAAATGTCGAGAAAACTGGCCAGGTTGAAGAGCTGCTTCGGCGAGTAGCCAATGATGCGCTCTGAGTTTTCGCTGGTGTAGCGAACCGAGAAGCCACCCTCCTGGTCTTCGCGAAGGGCCAGCAACAGGCCAAAGCCCTGCACGGCGCCGGGAGTATGTATGGGCTCATCCTCGCAGTGCTGCAAGACGGCGTCGCGCCCCGTAATGACGGCGTGGCCGTCGTCCGTCATGACGTGGCGGAACCTCGGCAAGATGAGCCCGTGGCCGTCAGGCACTGAGTCGGCAGGCGTCGCAGCCGGCTGTGCGTGCGATGGCTGGCTGGTATCCGATCTGTCCAAATGGGTCGAGTGGCCCTCCTCGGAGCCGCAGGCACCGCTTTCAAAGATGGGCAAGGGCTTCGAATTGGCGTGGCGGGCGGCGTCGGCCTGTATGCTTGAGATGGGGCCGGAGGAGGTATGCTTGCGACGGTTTCGTGTGGCCTGGCGATCGCCGGTGGGGGACGTGACGGCGGAGGCGGCAGGCTGGGACACCGAGTCGGAGCGGCGCGGGCGTGGCGGGGCGTCGGGTCGAGATGCGGTGTACTGACCATGGTCGGGCATGCGTGGGAAGTAGCCGTGCTCGCCAGATGTTCGACCGGCGGGGTTGACGCTGACGACGGATCGGATAGGGAAGACCCTGTCGGACAGGTCGGGGCTGTGACCGGGTTGACGACCTGAGCTGGCGCTCCATGAGGAACGGGCGCTCGGCGTCTGTTGAGGCACGGGGTCGTGCCCCGCGTCTTGTGTGGCTTCGGACGCTGGCGGAGGAGGTATGAGAGGGGCGGGAGACTCGACGGGCTGGAGGGTGGATTGCGAGCTACCGTCCATGGCACCTCCGGACAAGGGCGACTCGTTGGTCTCGGAGGGCGAGGCCTGGTCATTCATGGTTGCTGCTGTCTGCTGTGGCTGGACCATGAGTCTCTCCTCGAGACGTGGGCAGCACTGGCCCCTGGGCCCATACGAAATCCTTGAAGGCTACACAGGCGCGTGTGCGAGGAGCGCGTGGGGTCGGTCCCCAGCGCGAGGAACAGTGAGGCGAAAAAGGGCGGGTGGCGAGTGGCGAGGCACGAGTGGCAGGCGGCGGGCCAGAGCCGCAGGCGGCGACGATCAAGGGGTGTCTGTTGGAGGGGCAGTTGTTGGCTCGCCAGGAAGCAGAAGTGGTTGTGTTTGTATCGGCTGTTGTCGTCGTCCAATTGAAAAAGGGGAAGAGGGAAACCCGTAGAAGGGTTCGCGGAAGAGTGAAAAAAAAAAACACTCAAAAATCCAGGTCAACGTGGCGATCGAGGTGCAAATGTGCAACGTTGGTGATGGTTGGTGTGCTGTTTGAGGTACTCACCAAGTGGAGCGTAGAAGGGTCGATGGGAAGTCAGAAGTCAGATCGGGATCAGAGGTCAATGAAACGACCGGTCGGAGAGGTTTTCTGCATGCTGCACAGCCAAATGCTGATAGACGACGTCAAGGGCTGGCCGGGTTGGTTGATGTGAGGTGGGCGACAGCAAGCCAGCATGAATGGCAAGACAGGTAAGCAGGTAAGGTAGGTAGGTAGTTGAGAGTCGTAGTCATCGGTTTTCCGTCAGCGGTGGACACACAAGAATACCTAGCTGCCTTAGTTCAGACGCCCGATGCACGCAACGCGGCTCTCGACACGAAACGGGTTTTTTTCCCTCGATGGTCTGTCTGTCTGTCTGTCTGTCTGTCTGCCTGCCTGCCTGGTCCCGACAGACGGTCTGGATCTGGATGCTCGTTTTTCCAAATTACCAAGCTAGGTAGGCACTCGGCTCGGCTCCTCGTGCTTCCTCTGCTCTGCTCGCGCCTAGCGGCTTTGTCCGTGTGGCCTTCTTTCTCCCTCTGCATCGCCTTCCTCCCCTCGGTCCCCCCTTGTGCCTTCCTCCCCTCCCCACCCGCCCCCATGTACCGGGTGCTACGTTCAGGAAAGCACGTTGGGCAGATGGAATGGTCACCGATCGAGATGGGGGTCAACCGCGTCCGTGTCCAATGGCGCACTACTGCGGGGTGGTCGTCCCGCGCACACAGCACGGGCCCCACCAAACAGCAAGCGACTAGACCGATCCCCCTCCATTCCCCTGATCACGGCGGCCGTGGCCGTCGCAGTGGTTAGGGGAGCACCTGCATGTACTTGCTTTTAGCACGAGCAACAGCCGCACCGCGCTCGCGTCCTTCCCCTCTGTCTATTTCTTCAGCTGTCTCCTGGGCGCATCGGGGACAGGGCGGCCTGTGTGCGAGGAAGAGCACGATACAGGGGGGGGGAACAAGGAGAGGTGCAAGGGCACGCTGCCCACGAACTTGGCCGTGGACTCGATTTTGGTTTTGGTTTTGGTTTTGGTTTTGGTTTTGGTTTTGGAGGGCAGGGTCGTGATTTCAAGAGGCACATTGCAAATTCCCATTCGCTCAACATGGCAAAAGATCGGCCAATACAGCGTGATTGGCCCGCCAGCTTTGGCCTTTGTAGCACCCAGAACCTGATTCATGGCGTCATTGGCGTGGGAGCGGAGCCACATGGGCGAGACCTCGACAGGCCCTGGAGGCCTGGAGCATAAGGTCCGGAGCACACTCCGACACCCCATGTTGCAGTGCACCGTGCAAAGATGGGATAACGAAATATACTCTTCCCTTTACATGGTAAGCCCCTCTAATTACATTCCCCTTTCGCTTCTATGCAAATAAACCGCATACGATGAATACCCTCACAACTTGGACATGTCTCTACACCATCTCACTACAGCTTGCTGGGCTTTTCTGCCTCCTGCTGCCGCTGCTGCTGCTGCTGCTGCTGCTGCTGCTCACGCATCGTCTGCGCGCTCTTCAGCAGCGCGTAGAGGCTCTGCAGCCGCGGCATCTCGACGCCCCGCGCCCGCGCGATGCGCACAGGGTTGCCGAGGATGACCTCGAGCTCCAGCGGCCGTCGGGCCTCCCAGTCGAGCAGCATGCTGGGGCGCGCGCCAGCGTTCCTCTCGGTGCTCGTGACGATGCGCTCGGGCGTCGCCGCGCCGGCGGGAAAGGACCGGCCGAGCACGCGCGGCACGGCATCCCAAATCTCGCGCATGACGCCGAGGGCGTGCTCGCGCAGCGCCGGGTCCGACACCATGTCGGCGTTGCCGCGGCCGCCGCTGAGCACGGCGCTCGGGTTGAAGGCGGCATTGATGCAGAGCTTGTGCCAGCGCACCGTCTGCAGCCCGACCTCGTCCTGGACGTCGACGTCGCGGATGCCGCCCCAGTCGGGCCCCCACCACCGCCGCAGCGCCTCGACGGCCGCCGCGCCGCGGGCCGCCACCTGCGCGTCGCCCGTGCCGAGACCGTCAGCGTACGGCCCGATGCTGATGCGCGTCCACCGGTTCTGCCGGATGACGCCCGGCGACGTCTGCTCGGCGCTGACGACCGTGACGCCGCTGACGACGGGCGTGTCGGGGAACCGCGCGCGGAACGGCGCCTCGACGCCGACGCCGTTCTGGATCAGCACGATGCACGATGCCGGCCCCACGAGCGGCGCAATCATGGCGGCGTCGTCCGACCGGTCCGGCAGCGCCTTGGTCGTCACGAAAATGTAATCCCAGTCCGCCACGGCCTCGGCCGCTGCCGTCACCGAAGGATACGCCGCCTCGGGCGCGAAGACGTAGTCGCCAAACGAGTGCGTCTCGAGCTTGACGCCCGACGCAGCAATGGCCTTGTAGTTGGACCGGGCGACGAGTGACACGCGGACATTTTTTCGAGGCTGTTGCACACACGCGGCGTTCCCCTTTGTCAGCTATACAACACACCGTGATGCCAGGGGGAGAGCACGGCTGGACACCGGCCGATATATAGACACACGCACATGATGCAGGCGCGAGGCGTAGAAGCACCCAACTGCTCCTGCCCCGATGAACACGGCGTTAATGGGCCTTGGAGTGTCAAGAAAGAGTCAGCAATCTCGTGAGCTACGGCGATACTGAATAAAGACCCTGAAGCGGGGGCGCCGTGGATCGCTGGAAGGATGCCTTGCTCCCCACGGAGTCTACGTACCTCGGCTCGGGCTCTCGATGAGACGCCATGATGGCGATGGGCGGTGGGAGGGCACGACAATGGAAGAGCACCAGGACAACAGGGGGCCTCTACTCAGGGCTCAAACGGAGAGGACGAGGTGAGTGGTGGGGGTGCGCGTGTAATGGTGTTGAGGAACAGGACGCTTGGCCTGGAGGTGAGGTGAGTGGGATGCACACTGAAAGCACCTCGGCCGGCCGCTCACGTTGCTGCTGGTGTGGGGGTTGGCCGTAGTTCGTCCACCAATGCTCCCAGAGCCAGAGGACTTCTGTGGGTCGTGGAGGGAAGGCTGGGTTGACTGTCGACTGGGTTGGTCGGTACCACGCTGACGGGCAGCCAATTCAGCATCGCTGCTGCTATGGCGCCATCTGCCCGTCTCCCCGCCAGTCACACCACCAACCCGAACCCTTCCTCTTACATGTAACTGCCGGCACAATCAAGCCATCAACACCAGGCGCGCGAACATCCAATTGGCAAAACGAGTAACAGAATCGACATGATGATCAATTCTCCGCTTGTCGCCCATGTCTGTGAATCCCGGGTCCTCCAGAAATAACCCCTACATCCCTCTATCTAACGTGCGCCTGTGTTCCCGTTTTACCCAAACTCCCATCACAATCGCACCACCATCATCGTGAAGCTCTTCATGCGCTGCTCGCTCTCTTGCCTTGCCGTCAGCTTGGTCGCTCGATATCCCAAAATGGTATTCCTGGACGTGCGTGCGTGCATCCGTTCGTGCCAATGCATTGTGAGGCATCTAAAGGCTCGCAGCAGAGAAGAATGACAACCTCGACATGTGAAGCGCCGAAAAGTGCAAGGCAACGAAACAAACACGTAAAAACAGAACCGGAAATCCGCGCCTTCTTCTTCTTCATGCCGTGAAATGAGGCACCGTGAATAATTTTTTGTAACAAACGCACGAAATCCTCCCTGAGCCCTTCCGATCAATGAAAACCATAACCATGAGGCGTCAAAAGCGACAATCCAACCGTCGCTTTCTTCTTCTGCTTCTTCTTCTCTTCTTCTTCTTCTTCGTCGTCGTCCTCTGCTTCTTCACCAAAGTCGACCCCGTTTCCGACGTCGTCGAGCCTCGTCAAGCCAGCTCGAACCACAAACAAACAACACAAGAGATTTGAGGAAAATCAAAGAGATGATGCGCCGACTCCTCCACCCGCCCCAACATCACATATGAGAGATACGTGACCAAAATGGGAGAAAAAAAAAGTGCCCTCCTCTAAGTGCCCCCCGCCCCAGATGGCGCCGCCCATGCAACGAATTCTCCCCCCCTTTCCGCGCTGCGCCGTATGCGTGCACCCAGCGTCTGTAGTTTTGAAATGTGTATATATACGTGTCGCGTCTCGCTCCCAAGTCATGCTATGCCATAAGTCTGTGTCGAAAATCCGAGCCTCAAGTCTTTGCTTTGCGTCTGAGTCTATTGAGCGCTGGTGGTCCAAGTCTCGGCCCCGAGGGCCACGCCGTCTGTCGATTCGTTGTTGTTGGCGCCGCCGTACGTAGCGATGCCGTCGTTGAACTGCTGGCCCCAAAAGACGGGGTCGTTCTCAAAGTTGTACGAAGCACCGGCTACTGGTCCGGCGTCGTCGTAGGAAGACGACGTCGCGAGGCCAAATTGTTTCGTCGAGTCCTTCACAAAATTGTCGTAGCCGATGCTGCTGAGATCGGCCGTGCCCGGCGTCTGATACAACTGCCCCGAACGGAGATAGTCACCCTGGCCGAACGGCTCAAACTCGAGGTCACCCGAGATGAAATTGTCCTCGACCTCCGACACCTCGCCCGATGTCGACGTCGTGCCGCCGAGTGTGGGGGCCTGCTCCGACCCGGTGCCCCAGTCGTACATGCCGCTGAAGCTCTGGCTGCAGGCCTGGCCGTAGCTCGAGGGCGCAAAGTTGTCGCCCTTGTCTGACAGCTCGATATGGCTCCAGTCCACGGAAGCGGCCGTGCTGAGGCCGGCGCTGAAGATGGGACCGTCGTGCTCGGAGAAGGCCGAGCCGCCGAACATGTCGAATGTGCTGTTGGGAACGTATGGTGGGTACTCGATGCCAGAGAGATCAAGTGGTGGCAATTGCCCGTTAAGATGGTGCAGACCCGAGGCTCCGTTGAGGAGGGGCGACGCAGCCTCCGACTTGACGCGGCGCTGGTGATGGGTCGAGATGGCGCGCGCACGACCAAGGGGCTCCTTGCCATCGGGCAAACCGTCGGGCGAGTGGCTGCCGAGGCTGCCAGCGCTGTGCATCGAGTTGACGCGGCTGAGTTGGTAGGGGCCGCACTTGGAGGCGATCCGGTTGTGCTTGGGCACGATGCGGTTGCCGTTCTGGTCGAACGCCATGGCACCGTCCGAGTGGACCGTGTTGGCACGACGGCGTCGGACGGGGGGTCTCGGCCGCGGCGCGGGAACCTCCTGGTCAAGGCTCTTGGCCGGATCGCCCTCCGGGACAGTATCCAGGCCGGACTCCTTCTTGTGGCTGCACGTGCATCGGCCACCATGGTTGCAGCAACATGTTTCTGCAGGGGAGCGGTGGTCAGCACAATGGGCTGAGACTCGACATGTGCGCTCAATCGGCGGGCTTGCGCTGTGTTGAGATGCTTACCTCGATGACCTTCGAGCGCAGGCTGCAAATGAGCACACTTGCTCGTCTTCTCGCCGCAGTCGCATTTGACGTGGGCTGCCCGAGACTTGCGCATGGAACGACAATGCTGGCATTGCGACACGGGGCGGCCCTTCTTGTTGATGTGCTGCAGTGGGCGATCTAGAAACGAGGTGGACGGTTAGCTGCAGGTGTTCCCCAAGATGCTACCAGATGCTCGGTCCTCAACGCCTCGCCAGCATGTCATGCGAAGGCTGCCCCCCCTCCTCCCACAGAGACTCCTCGGCCTCCACCCTCCACCCTCAGCACACATGTCGCGTCTTGGTCTCGCCTCTGGGGGGACTCGCTGAGTACTGGCGGCGGCGGCGGCGGCTGCTGCTACTTGGGGCTGCAGTGAAGTAGATGGGCAGGTGCTATAGTATTCCAGTACTCACCAGAGTGTTGGCAGTTGCTGACGCGATGCCCTCGAACGCAGGCCTCGCAGGCAAACTTCTCGCCGTCGATGAGCATGGTCGATATCTGCGACGTTACACGAGCCTTGTCTTGCAAGTCTAGGTTGTGGCCGACAAATCGACGTTTCGGATATTCGACGACGTTTGTGTGGTGCGTCCGGGAAGGGAAGAAGGGTAGACGACGGGGTTGTGGTTGTAGAAAATGGACGGGCAATGCCTAGTCCGGTTGCTTTGCGTTTTTGTTGGAGAAACGCCACGCGGGTCGAAGTTGGTCGGGGCCAGTGTCAGTGTCGGTGTCAGTGAAGCAAGCGACGAAACCGAACCTGTCGCTGCTGGGTCGGAATGCCGGGGGTCCGGGGTTGCGACACAAGACAGGACGGATAGCGGAAGTCGAGGAGTCGCAAGGTGGTGATCGGGTTTTTGGTGTTATGAAGTGTGCATGTTGGTGAGGATGTGGTTGAAGGAGGAAAAGACGAGATTTCCAACAGACAACGGGACGGGGGAATCGCAAAGCAAGGCAGCGCTTCCGCCCAGGGGGGGGGGTCGGTCGCGTTTGGGAAGAGGATTTTTGGGGGGTGGTGGGAGGAGGGGTGTGGAGGGGTGGTGGTGGAAAGGTGGGTTTTTCCTTGGGATGAATGAGGGTGGATGGGGACTTGGACTGGTTTGGCTTGGACTGGTGTGTGGCCTGCTGGGTCTGGTTTGGGCTTGGGCCAAGGGTCGCAATGAGCCTGGCTGGTGAGGAAAACCAAAAGGTAGGGTACCTTGGGTAATGTGTGAGGTATGAGCACACTCAGAGGTACAAGGAGAACGTGAGGACTAAGGACGCCGCTTGTCGTTGCAGAAATAGCCCTGACGGGAATGGTCTGGAGGGCCTTGGGTACATGTACTGGGGGGCTGGCTGGCGCGCCTTGATGTTGCTTGCCGACTCGAAACGCGAAGCGAATGAGCGAGCGAGTGAGAGAGGAGGAGGAGGGGAGGGGGCCACAACGGGCGACGAGGAGAGAGAGAGAGAGAGAGAGGGTACGAGGGTCTCCGGTAAAAGTCTACAGTTCTCCGCAAGCGCAGTGGGAGAGGCGTGGGCCGTGGCCGGCGGTGCTTTGAGCAGCAGGCCCGATTTCTTGTGTGGTGATTTGATGAGGAGTGGGGATGAATTCCTGCGACGAACGGGGTCGGCGATGGGATAGCCGGGTTTGGCGACGGGGGGACCCAGTACTGTGGGCTGGGTTTTCGTTCGTTCGTCCGTCCTTGCTCTCTCTGCCCCTCGGTTGAACTTGGCTGGCGGCTGCGTCGCTGATGGCTGCTTTGCGCTGTCACTGTTGGCTGATCCCGGGTCAGCATAGGAAGAAGACGGCGGGAAAAGACGACGGGCGAGGGACAAGACGGGACGACAAGCCTCCAAAGTAGGCAAGTACGTAAACGAGCATAGGAGCTCGGCTGGCCTGTCTTCTGTAGGCAGGTAGCAAAGGCAGGCAGACGGGCAGGCGGGCAGGCGCACAGCGCGACGTGACAGCAAGTGCTACGCCCAGCTGTCTAGAGCTGCTCCAAGATGGTCATGGCCAGTCTTGGCAGGGTAGGGGACTGCCACAGGCAAGGTAGCCACACTGAAATGGAACTTGGTAAGGAACTTGTACATTACACACGCCGGTGCCTCAGGGTTGCATGCAAGTGCTTTGTACCGATCGTGGAGGCCCGCCCATGTCCCTGGCTTGCCTGGCTCGTCTAACCCGACAACGCCAGTCGGGTTAGGTCAGGTGTACGTCGTAATATTAGCAAAGAAACTGTCTTGATTCCGGGGATTGGCAATGGCTATGGAGTAGGAAATGGCGGGCGGTGGCGGTTATCCGCCGCTGCCAGATGAACAGGGGTTCCTCAGGGTGCCAGTAATGAATGTCCTGTGTAGGTTGCCGCCATTGGGGGGGGAAGGCGGAGGGAGAGAAGGGGGGGACTTGGATGCCAAGGAGCCTTGGTTCACGAGGAAGAATCGTCGACGGTTGGCGCGGATGGCTTGCAATCGTCCTGCTGCTTTTCCGCTCCTCGTTATTCGTTCACGTTTAACATCAGCCGCCTGACGAGGCGCTGGGGGCTCGGCTCACGGGATGTTCGTGTGTCTGGA